GCTATTCATGAGGGATCTGCCCCCATGACCCAAACACCTCCCACTAAGGCCCCACCTTCAACATTGTGGATCAAATTTCAACATGAGATTTGAAAGGGACAAACGTTCATAAAGCATATGTCAAAAAATGTGATTTGGAAAACATGATCAGATCCTCAAAAAGTGAATCACAGAACAACTGTATGACCAGCAAATCCACTTCTAGGCTTAGCCCCAAAGCACAGAAAGCAGGGATTCAAACAGATATGTACATATCAGTGGTCACAGCAGCATCCCTCACAATAGCCCAAATGTGAAATCAACCCAAGTGCCCATCGGCAGACTAACAGATAAATCACATGGGGTCTACACATATTATGTAGCCATCAAATGATGTGAAACTTCATTACATGCTGCATCATGGACAGACCTTGAAAACATTATGCCAAATAAAATAAGACAGACTCAAAGGACAAATTCCAGGTTCAAAGGACAGATTCCAGTTATACAAGTTGACTACAGTAGTCAAATTCATTGAGACAGAAAGTAGATTCGAGGTTACTAAAGGTTAGGGAAGAGGAAAATGGCATGTTACTGTTTAATGGGAACAGAGGGGTTTTTTTTTTAATTTTTTTCCCTTCTTTTTTGAGACAGAGTCTCACTCTGTTGCCCAGGCTGGAATGCAGTGGTACAATCTCTGCTCACTGCAACCTCAGCCTCCCCAGCTCAAGCAATCCTCCCATCTTAGCCTCCCAAGTAGCTGGGACTACAGACATGAGCCACCACACCCGGCTAATCTTGCATTTTTTGTAGAGTAGGGATCTTGTTATGTTTCCCAGGCTGGTCTTGAACTTCTGGGCTTAAGCGATCTGTCTTAGCCTCCCAAAGTTCTGGAATTACAGGTCTAACCACCAGGCCAGGACTAGGTAGAGTTTCTGTTTAGGTGATGGAAAAGGTTCTTTAGATGTTCTGATGGCTGCACAGCATTGCGAATGCGCTTAATGCCACGGTACACTTAACATACACTTAAAAATGGCTAAAATAGGGCCGGGCACAGCGGCTCACGCCTGTAATCCCAGCACTTTGGGAGGCCGAGGCAGGTGGATCATGAGGTCAAGAGATCGAGACCACCCTGGTCAACATAGTGAAACCCTGTCTCTACTAAAAATACAAAAAAATTAGCTGGACATGGTGGCGCGTGCCTATAATCCCAGCTATTCAGGCGGCTGAGGCAGGAGAATTGCCTGAACCCAGGAGGTGGAGGTTGCGGTGAGCTGAGATCGCGCCATTGCACTCCAGCCTGGGTAGCAAGAGAGAAACTCCGTCTCAAAAAAAAAAAAAATAAAAAAAAAAAAAAGGCTAAAATAGTAAATTCTACATTATGTATATTTTTATCACAATAAAACAATTCTTCAGTTACTTAACTCCTCAGGGGAGAAAATACACATATTTGTGTTTATTTCCTCAACACTAGAATTACTAAGGATTCCACAGGCTGAGAGAAAAGCAAGCAGTGCAGTCTGGTGGACTGGCTGGGCATGGTGGCTCATAATCTGAGCACTTTGGGAGGTCGAGGCCATGAGTTTGAGACTAGCCTGGCCAACAGAGCCAAACCCCCTCTCTACTAAAAATACAAAAATTAGCCAGGTATGGTAGTTCCTGCCTGTACCTCCAGCTACTACTTGGGAGGCTGAGGCACAGGAATCACTTGAACCCAGGAGATGAAGGTTGTAGTGAGCTGAAATCATGCTGCTGCACTCCAGCCTAGGCAACAGAGCAAGACTGTCTAAAAAAAAAAGAAAAAACCAACTGAAACCCAATATATTAAAAATGTAAGGAATTTTATGATAGGTTGGTGGCTGAATTGATATCAAATTGTGCCATACAGCAAATCCTTATCAGATAATTACTATAAACCAGGCCTATGCAAAGTGCTTCAAATGCGTTACCTCATTTAATCCTTATTTTAAAAACTGTGGGCCGGGTGTGGTGGCTCAGGGCTGTAATTCCAGCACTTTGGGAGGTTGAGGTGGGCGGATCACGGGGTCAGGAGTTTGAGACCAGCTTGGCCAACATAGGGAAACCCCATCTCTACTACAAATACAACAAATTAGCTGGGCATGGTGGCGGGCACCTATAATCCCAGCTACTTGGGAGGCTGAGGCAGGAGAATCACTTGAACGTGGGAGGCAGAGGTTACAGTGAGCTGAGATAGCACTACTGAACTCCAGCCAGGGCAACAGCATGAGACTCCATCTCAAAAACAAACAAACAAAAACAAAACTGTAAAGAAGATGTTTTTGTCTACATTATAGCATTCTACACATGAAGAAACTGAAGTCCTAAAAGCTCAGGATTCTTGCTTTGACTCCAGTCAAGAAATCTGGGGCCAGGTGTATAGTGGCTCTTGCCTGGAATCCCAGCACTTTGGGAGACCAAGGCAGGAGGGTCACTTGAAGCCAGGAGTTCAAGACCAGCCTGGGCAACATAAGGAGACCTTGTCTCCACAAAAAAAATTAAAAATTAGCTAGGCATGGGGGCCTGCCCCTGTAGTCCTAGCTACTCAGGAGGCTGAGGAGGGAGGATTGCTTGGGCACAGGAGGTCAAGGCTGCAATGAGCCATGATGGCACCATTGCACTCCAACCTGGGTGGTAGAGTGAAAATCTCAATAAAAATACATACATATGTATATACATAATGATCTTTCAGCCAGGTGCAGGCACAGTGGCTTATGTCTGTGATCCCAGCAATTTGGGAGGTCAAGGAGGAGGAGCACTTGAGCCTAGGAGGAGCACTTGAGCCTTGGCAACATAGCAAGGCTCTGTTTCTATTTTTATAATAAAATATAAATAAATAAATAATATTTTAACTTTAAAGTTTAAAATTTTTGCCACTGCCTCTAGATACAAATGTATTGTTTCCTATATTTTTGAATAGAGTTACATTTTGACTACACTTCTAGTTTTGAATGATTTCAGTCTAATATGGACTCAGTTTACAATTACCATTTTGCTCTTGGAAGGTCTTCATATGTTCAGGGCAAAGCAGTTTTCTATTTCAATCACACTTGGAGCAGGAAAGCCCTCTGTGTTCAGTGCCTAGCCTAGTGATGTGTTCTGCAGGCGTGCCTTCAATATTCCTTTGGATGGTAGAGAAGAGTGACAATTTCAAGGGTTTTCACTACTGTTTCTAGGACCCCAAGTTTCATCACTGTAAACAAGAAAAATCAAAACAGAAAGCGTGATGATTACTTTTTGAACATCTGACTAGGTTATGAGTGGATAGCTATTTTATTTTAACAATGCACATACTAAGTTTACTTTCTGCCAAGAAGCATTTTCAAATCCTATCTGAAGTTCAAGGAAATCAAAATTCACACACACCTATAGACACACACACACAACCATCCCAGCGTTCTTTCACCAAAGATAATGAACAGAGCAGACAAATCAATCTGACAGGTAATTTACCATTGTGGTTTGATTTCATCAGTCTAGCCACAATGCATTATGAACCAGGAAAATTAGAAGAGTCAAGAGGATGATAGTATCAGTGTTTAATGTTTATTTTCCATTAACTGGCAGCACAATTATTCTCAATAGCATATATCCACTCTCCAAGAGAAAAGCTTTAAGCAGTGGAGCTAATAAAAATAGTACTATTAAAGTTTAAAGCCGACTCAGCAACTTGGAGAAAGAGACTGTGTTTTTTATTGATGATTGGTGTGACAACTAGAACTCTTGGCAGATTTATCACGGCATTCAGGTGAATTGAAGGGAAACAGGGCATTCTCTGGACAAACAACTTCTATATTCACTAAATGAAAGATGTTTTCTCCTTTCCTTTAGAATGTCGTCCAAAACGTAGTCATTTTAAACTGAGTTGACAGTTCTGGGTTGGTGACTTTAACCCAAAACAACGTAGGACAAAGTCACTGGAAATTTCACGTCAACATGGGATGTGCCAATCAACCTTACACATATGCTGATACCTGAAACCCAGGTATAAGTTCATCCAAAGGTGATTGGGACAAGATTTTTTTGTTTTTGTTTTGTTTTTCAGATGGAGTTTTACTCTTATTGCCCAGGCTGGAGTGCAATGGCGATCTTGGCTCACTGCAACCTCCGCCTCCCAGGTTCAAGTGATTCTCCTGCCTCAGCCTTTCGAGTAGCTGATTACAAGCATGTGCCACCATGCCCAGCTAAATTTGTATTTTCAGTAGAGACAGGGTTTCGCCATGTTGGCCAGGCTGGTCTCAAACTCCTGACCTCAGGTCATCTGCCCACCTCAGCCTCCCAGAGTGCTGGGATTATAGGCATGAGCCACTGCGCCTGGCCGGGACAAGAGTTTTGACTGATCCCACTGCCTGCTGGATTTTCAGAAATGGAGTTTTTGAGCATAGGCAAGTTGAGATAGGTCTCAAAAAGAAACATTTTTTTCATATGAGGAAAAATTTTTCCCAATGATCTGTTTTGGAAGAATAGGGCAATATAACCCTGAAAAAAAATGTTAGATTTCTTATACTTCAAATGTGATTTAAATGTTTCTACTTTTACCACTGTCTCCCATCTAACCAGCTACCAAAGAAATCAACTTCATGGTTTTTAGGGGTGGAGAGTGAAAGTTTTTTTAGTGTGTTTGTTTGGTTTCTTGAGACAGTGTCTTGCTCTGTCACCCAGGTTGGAGTGTAGTGGTGTAGCCTTGGCTCACTGCAGCCTTGAACTCTTGGGCTCCCGAGTAGCTGGGACACCAGATGTGTGACACCGCACCTGGGTAATTTTTTATTTCTTTGTAGAGACAGGGTCACACTGTGTTGCCCAGGGTGGTCTTGAATTCCCGGGTTCAAGCAATCCTCAAGCATCTGCCTCCCAAAGTGCTGGGATTACAGGTGTGAGCCACTGAGCCTAGGCACTTCAGTTTTAAGATGATGTTTCCTTCGAAGCAGAATGATAATTAAAACAACATCAATCCAGGAAGTGGGTAAAATGCAGTTTCTAAGGCCTTTTAAATTTAATCCTAGGACCAACTGCCAAGATGGTGCGGTAGGAGCAAATCAGGATTGCAGCTCTGAATGAAGACGCAGAGGGTGAGTTCAATCCGCATTTCCAGACGGATCTTTTTTGCCCACAGAACGGGGAAATTCCCAGGTGTAGGAGAGACACGGGATGCCAGCGTAGCTGTTAAGGCTCACGGCCTGCTTCCGCCGGTGCCACAGCGCAGCAGCGCTCTGCACAGAACGCACTGGTCTGGATGCCCTGTTAAACTGGCAATCTGAGATTTGGGAGGGCAGATTAGCATATCCATCTGATTAAATGGGACTTGGACAGTGAGCCAGACCAGGAGATTACTGGGAAGAGACGTTTGAGCTGGCGCAGTGGGTAGCTGCACAGGAAATCACACAGATCCTGGTGCTGTACCAGCAGCCAACTGAAACACCTGGGAGAGAGTCTACAGTTAAACTTAAAAAAAAAAAAAAAAAAAAAAAAGAAGGCTCTAAGGCAGAGAGCCAGGTGATCAGGCTCGGCAGGTCCCACCCCCACAGGGACAAACAAAACAGCGATTCAAAAAGCTCAGGGTTGAGAGTTTCACTGCAGGCACAGCTGAACCCAGGATGGTGCGGCTCAGGATGGTGCAGCTCGGTGGGGGAGGGGCGTCCGCCATTACCGAGGCATACCACCCCTACTGAGGTAAACTCCCATTGCTGACGCAGCCTGCCATTGCAAAGACAACCCGCCATAACAGAGAGACTCTGCCAACAGGGCGGAGCCCATGGCAGCTGGGCGGAGCCTCAACAGGCAAATAGTGACTAGACTGCCTCCTAGCTGGGCAGGAAGGTGCAACGGATACTCACAAAGAAAGCTCTAACTCCCCGAGACAGAGCATCTGAGGAAAAAAAGGGGTTTTATGAGTTCTGCTGCAGGAGACTAGAACATACTGGCCTAACTGCCCTGAATGATCAACGGAGCTCAGAGCTCAGCACTTGAGCTCCTATAAAGTAGAGACCACCTCCTCAAGCAGCTCCCTGACCTCTGTATATCCAAAGAGTCACCTCAAAAAGGACTAATCAGACTGACATTTGGCAGGCATCAGTCTGGGACAAAGACAGCAGAAGAAGAAATTGGTAGCACCCCTCACTGTTCCGCAGCTGCTACAGGTGTACCCCAGACAAGCAGGGCCTGGAGTGGACCTCAGCAGTCCTACAGCAGAGGGGCTAGACCGTTAGAAGGAAAACTAAGTAACAGAAATAATTCATCATCAACAATCTGGGCGCCCACTCAGAGACCCAATCGAAAAGTCAGCAACTACTCAGACGACAGGTGGATAAACCTGCAAAGATGGGAAGAAACCAGTGCAAAAAGGAGGAAAATACCCGAAACCAAAACTCCTCACCAGCAAGGGAACAAAGCTGGACGGAGAATGAGTGTGATGAAATGACGGAATCAGACTTCAGAAGGTGGGTAATGAGAAACGGCCATGAGCTAAAAGAACATGTTCTAAATCAATGCAAATAAACTAGGAACCTTGAAAAAAGATTTGAGGAAATGATAACGAGAATGGACAACTTAGAGAGGAATATGAGTGAATTGAAGGAGCTGAAAAACACAACACGAGAACTTCGCGAAGCACGCACAAGTTTCAACAGCCGAATTGACCAAGCAGAAGAAAGAATATCAGGAGTCGAAGATCAACTCAATGAAATAAAACGAGAAACCAAGATTAGAGAAAAAAGCGCAAAAACGAATGAACAAAGTCTCCAAGAAATGTGGGACTATGTGAAGAGACCTAACCTACGTTTGATAGGTGTACCAGAATGTCATGAAGAGATTGAATCCAAGCTGGAAAATACTCTTCAGGATATTATCCAGGAAAATTTCCCCAACCTAGCAAGGCAGGCCAACAGTCAAGCCCAGGAAATATAGAGAACACCTCAAAGATATTCCGCAAGTAGAGCAACCCCAAGGCACATAATCGTCAGATTCGCCAGGGTTGAAATGAAGGAGAAAATTCTAAGGGCAGCAAGAGAGAAACATTGGGTCACCCACAAAGGGAAGCCCATCAGACTCACAGCAGATCTCTCGGCAGAAACGCTACAAGCCAGAAGAGAGTGGGGGCCAATATTCAACATCCTTAAAGAAAAGAACTTTCAACCCAGAATTTCATATCCAGCCAAACTGAGCTTCAGAAGTGAAGGAAAAATAAAATCCTTTGCAAACAAGCAAGTACTCAGAGATTTTGTCACCATCAGGCCTGCTTTACAAGAGCTTCTAAAAGAGGCACTACACATAGAAAGGAACAATCAGTACCAGCCATTCCAAAAACATACCAAATGCTAAAGAGCATCAACAAAATGAAGAATCTGCAACAACTAACGGGCAAAACAGCCAGCTAGCATCAAAATGGCAGTATCAAATTCACACATAACAATATTAACCCTAAATGTAAATGGGCTAAATGCATCAATCAAAAGACACAGACTGGCAAATTGGATAAAAAACCAAAACCCATCGGTGTGCTGTATCCAGGAAACCCATCTCACATGCAAGGATACACAAAGGCTCAAAATAAAGGGATGGAGGAAGATTTACCAAGCAAATGGACAGCAAAAAAAAGCAGGAGTTGCAATTCCCATCTCTGATAAAATTGACTTTAAAGCAACAAAGATCAAAAGAGACAAAGAAGGTCATGACATAATGGTAAAAGGATCGATACAACAAGAGGAGCTAATGATCCTAAATAAATATGGACCCAATACAGGAGCACCCAGATATATAAGGCCATTTCTTAACGACTTACAAAAAGACTTAGACTCCCACACAATAATAGTGGGAGACTTTAACACTCCACTGTCAATATTAGACAGATCAACCAGACAGAAAATTAACAAGGATATCCAGGGCTTGAACTCAGACCTGGAGCAAGCAAACGTGATAGACATTTACAGAACTCTCCACCCCAAATCCACAGAATATACATTCTTCTCAGCCCCACATCACACCTACTCTAAAATTGACCACATAATTGGAAGTAAAGCACTCCTCAGGAAATGCAAAACAACTGAAATCATAACAAACAGTCTCTCAGACCATAGTGCAATCAAGTTAGAACTCAGAATTCAGAAACCAACCCAGAACCGCACAGCTTCATGGAAACTGAACAACTGGATCTTGAATGTTGACTGGATAAACAATGAAATGAAGGCAGAAATAAAGAAGTTCTTCGAAACCAATGAGAACGAAGACACAACATACCAGAATCTCTGGGACACATTTAAAGCAGTCTCCAGAGGAAAATATATAGCAATAAGTGCCCATATGAGAAGAGTGGAGAGATCCAAAATTGACACCCTAGCATCAAAATTGAAAGAGCTAGAGGAGCAAGATCAAAAAAACTCAAAACCTAGCAGAAGACAAGAAATAACTAAGATCAGAGCAGAACTGAAGGAGATCGAGACACAAAAAACCCTTCAAAAAATCAATAAATCCAAACGCTGGTTTTTTGAAAAGATCAAAATAGACCACTAGCCAGATTGAGAAAAAATAAAATAGAGGCAATAATAAACGATAAAGGGGAAATCACCACAGATTCCACAGAAATTCAAACCATCATCAGAGAATATTACAAACAACTCTATGCACATAAACTAGTAAACCTGGAAGAAATGGATAAATTCCTGGACACCTGTGTCCTCCCAAGCCTAAACCAGGAGGAAGCGGAAACTATGAATAGACCAATAACAAGGTCTGAAGTCAAGGCAGCAATTAAGAGCCTACCACTCAAAGAAAGCCCAGGTCCAAATGGGTTCACAGCCGAATTCTACCAGACACACAAAGAGGAGCTGGTACCATTCCTTCTGAAACTATTCCAAATAATCAAAAAAGAGGGACTCCTTCCCAAATCATTTTATGAGACCAACATCATCCTGATACCAAAACCTGGCAGAGACTCAACAAGAAAAGAAAACTTCAAGCCAATATCCATGATGAACATAGATGCAAAAATCTTCAATAAAATGCTGACAAACCGATTGCAACAGCACATCAAAAAACTTACCCATCATGATCAAGTAGGATTCATCCCAGGGATGCAAGGCTGGTTCAACATATTCAAGTCTATGAACGTAATTCACCACATAAACAGAACCAAAAACAAAAACCACATGATTATCTCAACTGATGCAGAGAAGGCATTTGACAAAACTGAACAGCCCTTTATGCTAAAAACCCTCAATAAACTCGGTATTGACAAAACGTATCTCAAAGTAATAAAAGCTATTTACGACAAACCAACAGCCAATATTATTCTAAATGGGCAAAAACTGGAAGCATTCCCTTTGAAATCCGGCACTAGACAAGGATGCCCTCTTTCACCACTCCTATGCAATATAGTACTAGAAGTTCTAGCCAGAGCAATCAGGCGAGAAAAAGAAATAAAGGGCATTCAAATAGGAAAGGTGGAAGCCAAATTGTCTCTATTTGCAGATGACATGATAGTATACCTAGAAGACCCCGTCGTCTCAGCCCAAAAACTCCTGAAACTGATAAGCAACTTTAGCAAAGTCTCAGGATATAAAATCAATGTGCAAAAATCACAAGCATTCCTATACACCAATAACAGACTTAAAGAGAGCCAAATCAAGGACAAACTGCCATTCACAATTGCTACAAAAAGAATAAAATACCTAAGAATACAACTTACAAGGAACGTAAGGGACCTCTTCAAGAAAAACTAGAAACCACTGCTCAATGAAGTAAGAGAGGACATAAACAGATGGAGAAACATTCCATGTTCATGGTTAGGAAGAATCAATATTGTGAAAATGGCTATACTGCCCAAAGTAATTTACAGAATCAATGCTATCCCCATCAAGCTACCATTGACTTTCTTCACAGAACTGGAAAAAACCACCATGAACTTCATATGGAACCAAAAGAGAGCCCACATAGCCAAGTCAATTCTAAGCAAAAAGAACACAGCGAGAGGCATCACACTACCAGACTTCAAACTATACCACAAGGCTACAGTAATCAAAACAGCATGGGACTGGTACCAAAACAGAGATATAGACCAATGGAACAGAACAGAGGCATCAGAGGCAACACAACATATCTACAACCATACAATCTTTAATAAACCTGACAAAAACAAGCAATGGGGAAAGGATTCCCTGTTTAATAAATGGTGTTGGGAAAACTGGCTAGCCATGTGCAGAAAGCAGAAACTGGACCCCTTCCTGACACCATACACTAAAAATTAACTCCAGATGGATTAAAGACTTAAACATAAGACCTGGCATCATAAAAACCCTAGAAGAAAATCTAGGCAGAACCATTCAGGACATAGGAGTAGGCAAGGACTTCATGACCAAAACACCAAAAGCATTGGCAACAAAAGACAAAATAGACAAATGGGACCTAATCAAACTCCACAGCTTCTGCATGGCAAAAGAAACAGTCACTAGAGTGAATCGGCACCCAACAGAATGGGAAAACATTTTTGCAGTTTACCCATCTGACAAAGGGCTGATATCCAGAATTTACAAAGAACTCAAACAGATTTACAAGAAAAAAACAAACAAGCCCATTCAAAAATGGGCAAAGGATATGAACAGACACTTTACAAAAGAAGACATACATGAGGCCAACAAACATATGAAAAAATGCTCGTCATCACTGGTCATTAGAGAAATGCAAATCAAAACCACATTGAGATACCATCTCACGCCAGTTAGAATGGCGATCATTAAAAAATTTGGGGACAACAGATGCTGGAGAGGATGTGGAGAAATAGAAACACTTTTATACTGCTGGTGGGAGTGTAAATTAGTTCAACCATTGTGGAAGACAGTGTGGTGATTCCTCAAGGACCTAGAAATAGAAATTCCATTTGACCCAGCAATCCCATTACTGGGTATATATCCAAAGGACTATAAATCGGTTTACTATAAGGACACATGCACACGAATGTTCACTGCGGCACTCTTTACAATAGCAAAGACATGGAACCAACCCAAATGCCCACTGATGATAGACTGGACTGGGAAAATGTGGCACATATACACCATGGAATATTATGCAGCCATCAAAAATGATGAGTTCGTGTCGTTTGTAGGGACATGGATGAATCTGGAGAAAAGCATTCTCAGCAAACTGACACAAGAACAGAAAATGAAATGCCACATATTCTCACTCAGAGGCGGGTGATGAAAAATGAGAACACATGGACACAGGGAGGGGAGTACTACACACTGGGGTCTATTGGGGGGAATAGGGGAGGGACAGTGGGGTGGGGCAGCTGGGGAGGGATAGCCTGGGGAGAAATGCCAAATGTGGGTGAAGGGGAGGAAGGCAGCACAACACACTGCCATGTGTGTACCTATGCAACTATCTTGCATGTTCTGCACATGTACCCCAAAACCTAAAATGCAATAAAAAAAAATACAAAATTAAAAAAAAAATTAATCCTAGCTCATTCCACCACAGGGAAAAATCAAGGAGAGGGCTGATATGATAATAATAACAAAAATAGAAGTATCAATAATAATAAAAACTGTAGTGAGAGCTACAGTCTACAGAAAGCAAGCACTTGCTGACTTTTTCTGTCTTTTCATTCTATACTATTGTCAATAACACTAATTAAACTACTTTTCATTTCTCATCACATTCAGAGTCAGGGTAACAATTTAGCTAAACCTAACGCCTATTCCAAGTTCTCAAAAAGTATAAATATGCCTTTATGTATCATATTCATCTCCAGGGCATCTGAGAGACAAAGTGTCTCTCAGATTTAAGAGCAGCCATCTGATGGTCAAATCACCAGTCACGTCAGAGAACATGGAACCATGTCAAGAAGTAGTTTCTGTGGGGACTAGAAGAGGGGCGCGGGAAGGAGGAGGAGAGAAAAGGCGGTAACAACTAGCTATTGGGTACCATGCTCACTACCTGGGTGATGGGATCATCCATACCCCAAACGTCAGCATCACACAATATACCCAAGTAACAAATCTGTACGTGTACACCTGAATCTAAAACAAAAGTTGAAATTCATAAATAGTTCCATTGCTGTAAATTCAGTCTTGTGGAATTTTTATTTAGTTGCATTGAGTTCAGATAATAATCAATGCTGTATTCCACTAACTTGACCCTCTGCTACCTGAATATAAACAAATAAAACACGAGCAGAATGTTCACTATTCTGCTTGTAGCACACGGGCAGGAGCAACAGGGCATGTCCCCTGTGTATGCCACAGCTTCTTGTAGCCAGTAGCAAAGCCTGGCCTAAGGCACCAGTGACCTTGGAGGAGAACAAAACCTATAGGAGAAACTGATCCATAGGTGATCCAAAGTTCACATGAAAAAACAAACAAATAAATCAAGAAAGTTATTAAAAGGATAAGTAATGGGAAAGGGAGAAAGACAAGTTCTATCAGCTGATATTCCATGAAGTCTCAAAAAATGGTATAACATGAACACATGAATTATAGACCAATGGTATAAACAGGAAGTTCAAAGATGAAATGAACCAACATATGGAAATTCAGTATGTGATAAAGGTGTCATCTCAAGCCAGTGGGGCAAAGATGACTTTTAAATTTGGATAATTGGGTATGACAGATATTTTACATATTTAGAAACAGAGAAAGTGAAAAATGAAATCACAAGAAAACACAGGCAAATTCGGCCAGGTGCAGTGGCTCACACCTGTAATCCTAGCACTTTGGGAGGCTGAGGTGGGCAGATCACGAGATCAGAAGATTGAGACCATCTGGTCATGGTGAAACTTCGTCTCTACTAAAATACAAAAAATTAGCTGGCCATGGTGGTGCATGCCTGAAGTCCCAGCTACTCAGGGCACTGAGCAGGGGAATCACTTGAACCCAGGAGACAGAGGTTGCAGTGAGCCGAGATCGTGCCACTGCACTCCAGCCAGGTGACAGAGCAAGACTCTCTCTCAAAAAAAAAAAAAAAAAAAAAAAAAAAAGGAAAGAAAAGAAAGCACAGGTAAATTCCTTTGTGTCCTTGGAGTGAGGGAAAATCTAACCACAAGTCAAGATCCAGACACTTTTTTTTAAAATAATAATAAATTCAACTATATAAAAATTTAAAATGTCTGTATAACAAAAAGTGGAGACACAAATGACAAACTGCCAAAAAGACCCCCGACAACTTACATCATGGACCAACAGTTCTCAAACTTTTGGGTCTCAGGAACACTTTGCACTCTTAAAATTTTTTTAGGGTTTCAAAGTTGTGTTTCTGTGGATTTAATCTATTGCCTTTTACCATATTAGAAATTAAAATGGAAAAACTTTAAAAATACATATTAATTTAAAATATTTCACATTAATATAACATTTTATGAAAAATGCTGTTTTTTAAAACAAAATATAACTATTATTTTATATGCTTTGTGAATTTAATATGTGCATTAATAGAAGACAGCAAGATTCTCATAGCTGTTTCCACTTTCAAGCTGTTGCTTTGATTGAAGAACACGGGGGGAAATCCTGCTTCACACATGTATGTAGCTGGAAAAGAGAGGTTTAATCACTTTTTGAGACAATTTTAGATATTTTTTCATAACAATAAAATATGACAAGTGGAATTTGAAAACATTATCAATGAACTTTTCATGCTTTATTAAATTATAACCCACTATTCCATCTTGCAATTTGAATGGCTTTTATCCATCATGTTTTTATAATGTCACACATGCATTCCTCTCCTTAAATAAGAATCAGTTCACTGCACCGTGTTGAGCTTCCAAAGGTTGATATATCTCTTTATACAACATGTAAATAATCAGATTTGTTAATATTTCCACTAATCTCATCCCAAATAGCCTTAAATACAGAGAAGCTGTTCAGCTCATAGTGGTGGATAAAGTTTTTAAAATTCAAGTTTTCTTTTGAAAGCCTGAATTTTGCCATCCACAGCAAATACTCCTCGTCCTTTCCTTTAAGGTGAGGGGATCACTTCATTTGCCTTTGAGAAAGTGTCTGCCAGGTACTGGAGTCTGAGTAACCAGAGATTATCAGCAGTTCTTTCAAATAAAAAATGATTCTCCATGAAAAAGTAGCTAGTTCAGTTTGGGACTCAAAAAGTGACATCTGGCTGGGTGTGGTGGCTCATGCCTGTAATCTCAGCACTTTGGGAAGCTGAGGTAGGACGATCACTTGAGCCCAGGAGTTCAACAGCTGCCTAGACAACAGGGTCAACCTGTCTCTACAAAGAATACAAAAATTAGCTGAGCATGATGGCACATGCCTGTAGTCCCAGCTATTCAGGAGGCTGAGGCAGGAGGATTGCGTGAGCCAAGGACACAGAGGCTGCAGTGAGCCAAGACTGCGCCACTGCACTCCAGCCTGGGTGACAGAGCAAAACTCCCTCTCAAAAAAACGAAAGTGACTTCCTCGAGATAACCATCATACTATAGTAAAAGTGTTTCATGTGCACTCTTATTTCAACACACAGGTCAAAATTTGAGAAAACTAAAAATTTAATTGCTTATTTATTGACATTTTTAAACGAAATTGCCTTTTTTTTTCTTCAGGTACTTTGTGAAGAATACATTGTTTGAGGCCATTTCCTTGATTCATGAAGCTAACGTCACTGATAAGGAAAAATCTCACATCATATGCCCTCTAATATGCTATGCTGAGAAGACACAACCTGCATTTCACCTGACTCTTATCAGATAGGCCTGGTTACAAGATATTTTGCAAAATAAATGGTCTGAGCTCTTCAAGAAAGTCAATGTCACAAAAGACCAAAAAGGGGTGTGGGGAGGGGGAAGACTAAAGAAACTGCACAAGAGACTGAAAAGACATGAAAATGTAATGCATGATCCTGAATTGGAGCCTTAAAAATTTAAATTAGTAAAAGGGAAATTTGGAGACATTTGGTTTGAATTAGGATTCTACATAGTAGTACTGTAGTATATCAAGTTAAATTTTCCGATTTTGATGATTGTCTGCAGATATGCAACTAAGTATGTTTTTGAAAGAAATAAATTCTGAAACAAAATATATACCACATACAAGAGAAAAATGAGAGAGAATGACAAATTGGTCACCTGTAACAGGGTGAAAGGTATATGGCAGTTCTTTTCATTATTCTTGAAATTTTTCTTTAAGTTTGAAATCATCTCAAAATTTTTTAAAGAAAAAAGGGGAATAAAATACCAATTTGCTTATATTTGCATAAATACTGAAGTGATAACAAGGATCAAATGGTGAACTGGAGTGGGGACATGGAGTGAATGAGGACAGGGTGGGAGTGAAATTTCTCATGTATTATACATCTTTTAATATTATTTTGACTTTTGAACCTAGTATAACTAATTTAAATCTCTCATTTAAAAAAAAATTTTTTTTGACAAGGTCTCACTGTGACATCCAGGCTAGAGTGTGGTAGTGTAATCACTGCAGCTGAGCTCCCACGGTCAAACCATCCTTCAACCTCAACCTCAGCCTCTTGTGTAGCTGGGACCACAGGCATAGGCCACTGCATGTGGCTAGTTTTGTTTCTTTTTCTTTTTTTTTTTTTTTCTTTGGTAGAGATGGGGGTCTTAAGGTGTGGCCCAGGCTGTTCTTCAACTCCTGGCCTGAAGCAATTCTTCTGCCTTGGCCTCCCAAAGAGCTAGGATTACGGGCATGAGCCACCATGCCCAGTCTAAATTGAATCTTAAAAGTTCGTTATTTTTTTTTTTAGAGACAGGGTCTCACCCTGTCACCCAGGCTGGAGTTCCACGGTGTGATTATAGCTCACTGCAGCCTTGAACTCCTGGGCTCAAGTGATCCTCCCACCTCAGACTCTGGAGTAGTTGGGACTATAGGCATACACCACCACACCTGGCGAATTCTTGCATTTTTTTGTAGAGATGGGTCTCACTGTGTTGCCCAGGGTTGTCTCAAGCTCCTGTCCTCAAGCAATCCCCTGCCTCAGCCTCCCAAAGTGCTGGAATAATAGGCATGAGCCACCCTAAAAGTTGAGTTTAATTTTTGAATGCGTGTTTTAAAAGTTTAATTTTTGAATAGCTTTAAAGGTTTAATTTTTGAATATGTGTTTTTGACCAGTAGGACTGGATCTGAATGTGTATCCACTTTCCCAGAAACCAATAAAACAATATGCCATTTAGTGACACAACTTTGGTTAATTTTGCTAGAGATAAGAAAATAAAAATTAAATAACCCCAAAAGGCAACTTTTCAAGCCTGTTTATATAATTCCATCACAGATTTTTTTAAAATAAGAAAGCACTAAAATATTTACATTTTGCATGGACCCAGACAAGTTAGCTAACAGTTTATCAGTTCTATTTCATTATTTTTTTCCTTCAAAGAGCCAGCTCTTCAGTCAACTTATTAGACCTTTTTCTGTTTTCTAATTAATTAAGTTCAGTTTTGTGTTTACAAATGATTTTCTTTTACTTACCTTGGGTTTATCTTTTAATGTTCTTTTAGTATATTCTTGTTAGGTCTTTCATTTACTAATAAATAAGCCTATACCTTTTCTTCTGAGCACCCATAGATTCTTCTGAGCACCATTTGTTTTTTATATATTCTGTTAATGTTAGCCAAGTTTTTCTTTTTCTTTATTTTTTTTACAGGCTCTTGCTCTGTCACCAGGTTGTAGTGCAATGGTGTGATCATAGCTCACTGCAGCCTCAAATTCCTGGATTCAAGTGATCCTCCTGCCTCAGCCTCTGGAGTAGCTGGGACTACTCTAGTGCATGCCACCACTTCTGGCTCATTTTAAAAATTCTTGCAGAAACAAGATCTCACCATGTTGTCCAGGCTGGTCTTGAATTCTTGGGCTCTTGTGATCCTCTCTCCTTGCCTCCCAAAGTGCAGGGATTACAGGTGTGAGCCACCGTCCCTGGCCAAATTTTCCTTTTTGACTCAAAAGTTGAGTTGAGAGGTTTTTAACATCAAAGTAGTAAAAATTTTGTTCCTGATTTGTTTTCTGCTTTGTACTTTAGTGCACTCTGATCCAGGAATATCTATATTCTCTACTATTGAGAATTCACTGAAGTCTTGAGGCCTTATGTAAAAATTTTATGAATGCTTGTCACTTAAAAAAGAATGAGTTTTTATCTTCAGAGATACACACACATATTTCTACCTCATCAATTATCATATTTAGGTCGTTTTTAGTCTTAATTTTGATCCTCTTGACGTTTAATAAACTAAAACACATGAATTAAACAATTGACCTGCTGTGTTTTCTGCATTTTTTCGTTTCCCCTATAGCTTCTCTGTAAATGCTGATGCCTGCTATCTGATGCAGTTATTCGTAACTTTTTTTTTTGAGACGGACTCTCACTCTGTCACCCAGGTTGGAGTATAGTGGCACAATCTTGGCTCACTGCAACCTCCACCTCCCAGGTTCAAGTGATTCTCATACCTCAGCCTCCCATGTAGCTGGGACTACAGGTGTGTACCACGAATGCCAAACTCATTTTTGCAGTTTTAGTAGAGATGGGATTTTGCCATGTTGGCCAGGCTAGACTCAAACTCCTGACCTCAGGTGATCTGCCTGCCTAGGCCTCCCAAAGTGCTGGGATTATAGACGTGAGCCACCGCACCTGGCCCATCATCGTAACTTTATCATGATACACACTATTTTAAATGTCTGTTTCTTTTTAATGATTTTGTTCTAAATTCAAAATTATCTGACTTTAAAATCACATCCTAGTCTTTTTGCTTGCATACATCTGGTATACATTTTACTATCTTTTTATTTTCAAGCTTTCTGAATCATTCGTTTTCATTGTGTCTTTTGGTATACATTTTACTATCTTTTTGTTTTCAAACTTTCTGAATCATTCGTTTTCATTGTGTCTTTAGAGCATTACACTGTTGGGGAGGCTTTGTTATATGAGTCTGTGTCTTTTAGTAGGTGAACATAGCCCATTTATTTACACTTATTCACATGGCAGGTAAGTTTGATCTTGGTTCTATCTTCTTATTTGATGCTTGTTTTCTTTCTTGTATATTCTTTTTGGTTTTATGCTTTATGATGTGGTTGGTGCTTTCTTTGCTCTGTCTACTGTATGGTCAATGTTTTCTTTGCTGTTTCTGTATTTCTTCAGATAATTTGGAACGTCTGTGCTTTTATTCTATTCTAGTGTTTCATCTTTTAACTTCATATACCTTGAATACTCTATTTCATTAAATTATGTTTGACTCCTGTTAGTAATGAGTATCTTTTACCTTCTTCTCCTCTACTGCAGTTTTATTTGACTACCTCATTATATCTTTACACTCTGAACATACGCTTAGCCATTTAACTTTATCAATGTTAAATCGCAGCTTTTGCTTATAAAATGTGAGGAAATCAGCAAAATTATAGGAATTCAAAATGTTTCCCCTTTCTCTCTCTATATATAGTTATGTATCAATTCTATTATCAAGGTTTACAACCCCAACATTCAATTTTCAAATCATAATCCCTATATTAGTCTTGGCCTCCTATAGGCAATTAGATTCAATGCTTACTGCCATTTTTGATGGTTTGTTTTTCTCATCAATCTCCTGGTTATCTGAGTTTATCTTCTAGCAGTATTCAGAAGTAATCATGATGCTGTCTTCTGACACTGGTCTTGATTGCTGTTTTTGAAATTTTGAAATGGAATGTATAACCTCTGAGTCTTTGATTCAACATTAAAGTTTGAGACTCATACAGGTCAATATATGTCAGTAGTTAACTGACTTTCATTACTGAAAATCAGTAATATCTTTAGACAATTAGTAATGTGTGTAGATGTTTTTCTGGCCTTTATTCTGTTCAATTGTTCTGTCTATATCTTTATATTAATATTACATTACTGTGGCTTTAGAGCAGGGTATCACATCTTTTGGCTTCCCTAGGCTATATTGGAAGAACTGTCTTGGGACATACATAAAATACACTAATGCCAACAATAGCTGATGAGCTAAATAATAAGAATAACAAAAAAACACCCCATGTTTTAAGAAAGTTTACAAATTTTTATCAGGCAGCATTAAAAGCCATCCTTGGCCACTTGGAGCCGGTGGACTTTCCTAGTGTCATGTACTTGAGAGACAAACATGAGGGAGATGTATGAAATATTACATGCTATAAGTCATGTATTTTTAAAAGAATTTTGCAAAATATGCATTCTGCAATTGCTTATTCCTCACATCCCAACCTTCTAGAATACCACTATCCAGTAGAAATTTCTGCTGATGAAACTGTTCTATAGCTGCACTGTTTAATATGGCAGCCATTAACTCCAAGTCCCTACTGACGATTTGAAATGTAGCTATTGAGACAGAGTAACTCAATTTTTAAATACTACATAATTTTAAGTAAGTTTAAACTTTTGGATGTTTAAATTTACTTAAAACTTACTTAAAATTCCTAGAAGTGAAATGGCTGCATCGTGTGTTAATTCTAATTTTTTGAGGAATTGTCATACTATTTTCCACAGTGGCTGTAACATTTTATATTCCCACCCATCGACTGTGGAAAAGGATTCCAATTTCTCAACATCTTTGCAAACGCTTCTTTTCTGGTTTCTTGATAGAAGCCATTCTGATGGGTGTAAGGTGCTATCTCAGTTTTCATATGCATTTCTCTAATAAATTAGTGATGATGAGCATCTTTTCATGTCCTTATTGGCCATTTGTGTATCTTCTTTGGAGAAATGTCTATTAAAGTCCTTTGCCCATTTTTGAATCAGGTTTCTCGCTGTTGTTGAATTTTAGGAGTTCTCTCTATATCAAGGATACCAATCCTTTATTATATATACAATTTGCAAATATCTTCTCCTGTTGCTTGTTTATTCTATTGATAGTCTTTTGATGCACAAACTTTTTGAAATTTTATGAAGTCCAATTTGTCTTTTTCTTTTGTTGCCCTGCCTTTAGTGTCATATCCAAAAAATTACTACCAAATCCAGTGAGTCTCTAAGATATCTATACATCCATGTTCATAGAATTATTCACAATAGCTCAAATATGGAAGCAACCCATTGTTCATTGACAAATTAACAGATAAGCAAAATGTGGTATATACACGCAGTGGAATATTATTAAGCCTCAAAAAGGAAATTCTGCAGTATGCTAGACATAAATGAACCCTGAGGACATTATGCTAGTTCAATAAGCCAGTCACAAAAAGGCAAATACTGCATGATTCCACTTATATGAGATAGTTAAAATCACAGAGAGAGAAGAACAGTGGTTTTCTTAGAGGCTGGGGAAATGAAGATTGATTGTTTAGTGGATATACAGTTTCAGTTTTGCAAGATGAAAAAAGTTCCAGAGATGGATGGTGATGATGGTTGCCTAACAATATAAATGTATTTCATACAACTGAACTGTATACTTAAAAATGATTTCAATGGTTACCATTTTATGTTACGCGTATTTTGCCACAAATTTTTTTTAAATGCCACATATGGCTGGTGGCTACAGCAACTGGATAGTACCGTTCTAGAACATAAGTGAAAGCAGAAATCCATATTAAAAAGAGATAATATATACAATGGCCTATCCAGGAATGTCAGTGGATAGAAATAGAATCACTGAATTCTGATTATTTGCCAGGGAATAGAGGGATGCTAGCTTACTTCCTATGCAACCAGAATAAGGAGAGACCAGTAAAAGCAGTACCTACCCTTTGCTGCTTCTGTATTCATAACAGATGTTGGAAAATATGTTTCAATGTGCCACAAAGATAACAACTAGCTTAGTGTGAAACAGAAAGCATGCTCCTCAAATATTATTGAACATGCCAGAATATGCTTTAATTTTATCACAAACTTTGGAAATAACATAGCTAACAAAATATTACTCCTCTTCAGCCTTAGGCTTATCATTCTGTGTCACTAAGCATATGACTTTTGGCATTCATATCAATCTGGGCCTGTTATTTCATCTATAAAACAAGTCTCAAAAAAAAAAATAAAAAATAAACTGTGAATGTGTGAGAGTCCCTACGGGTCCTTTCCTACTTTATCAATCATAAGAGTATTACTTTGGCATGTAAGATTCCCATTTTTCTTACCTAAATACAGTCATGTACTGCATAATGATGTTCTAGTCAATGACAGAGTGCATTTATTATACAATGGTCATCCCATAAGATTATAGTACCGTATATTTACTGTAACTTTTCTGCTTAGATATTTTTCGATACAAAAATCGTTAGCACTGTGTTCTAATTGCCTACATTATTCAGTAGTCACCTGCTGTACAGATTTGCAACCTAGGAGTAATAGTCCACACCATATAGCTGATGATGTTTGAATATACCAATACATTTCTCAGAATATATCCTCATCGTTAACGGTCATGTGACTGTATAAACAATCTCTCAAAATGCCTAGGAGGAAAAGGTGGCCTTAAAGTCTGTGCCGAATTTCTACCTCTGCAAATGCCCTGTTTATAAAGCCCTCTACGGCATCATTTGTCATTCTCATGTCATCATGGATTTCATCATTATAAAATTTATGGCAGTATTACAAGTTTCAAAGCTACTTGCAGTATGAACCACAACTATCAGAACTACCTGAAAGATCTGGCTACCAGCATTAATAATTTAAAATATTTACCAAAGACCACTTTTCTGAAACCATTAAAAAAGAGGACATAAAGGGAGGGAGGGTCGATGAGAAAAAAACCATGTATTATAAATACGTATTGTAGTAATTTGTTAAACAGTTACTTTGTTCTCCAAGTGCTCTGTTTATGAGAGCACTGTAAAAGTGCTTTCTTTCTTTCCTTTTTTTTTTCCTGTGGGAGAAGGGAAGCAATGAAGGAAATGAAAGAGTTCATTTAAGTGCTATATTCACATAAGGCTAATTTGTAAAAGCTCAATCCAGCTGAATATACTTGCAGCCACCACTGGACCACAAAACTTCAGTTGAGCAGACTAATTGAGATTCTTCAGGAGAACTCCCTTGTCTTTGGTAGTTACAGATGTCTCATTAGGCATTCGATATCTCCCCCTTCTCTAGAATACTAAGTCTGACTCTGACCAGCCTTAGGATACAGCCTGTGAATTTCCAATAGATTCGAATACACCATCATTATGAGACAGTTGATTTTGTTTTGCAACCATTTGATTTTTTTGTCTGTATCAAACTAAAGTTGCAATTAATAGTACTATGTTAGCTGCACTAGAATACCGTTTAAAAAAAATAAGAACAAAAACTATGCTCCGCCTCCAAGACTGTAACACGCAGGCTAAAGGCCCTGTTAAACACCTTCTGTAGTCTTACACTAGAGAAGTGCTTTCTATAAAAGAAGATCATTAGAGCTGATGGCTGGAGATTTTCCATTCTCTATAGAGATGAAATATTTCAACATTTGATTTTTATTAGACTAGTGAGAATGTGGTGCCCACTTGACCATTTTAATTTTCTTCTTTACTAAAAAGACATGTTGTGGACTCCTCTGTGTATTTCTTTAAAAATGTCTAAAGATCTTTGAGGAATTCAAGTCATGGGAAACTACATGTTTAAGTATTTAATTAGAAGCCTCTCCCATGAGCTGGAAAAAATCTCTTGGCACAATTATGGAATAACTATTTTCCCCCTTCACTGCTATCTTAATATCCAATATTGTGGGCTTGCAAAGAAGCATGGAATGAAACTGAAATAGTAAAAAGGTCTCCATGTAGCTGCCATTATTATTGGCGAGTTTTCACTTGTATGTAAGCAATGGTGTGCGCGCACACACACACGTAGCACAAACATATGTTTGTGTATATGTATAAACACACATACAACCCATCTACCACTAAACCCAAAGTTTCACTAAATTATTTCATTTAATATGCTTTTCACATAAGGAAAAAACAATTTAAAGATTTGTCTCTATCTAAAATATGAACATCTTTTTTTTGAGATATTTAATAGTTAACTTACCTTCTCCAGAGTAAAAGGTAAAATTTTTTATTTCTGTAAAATTTAAGTATTTTTCTTCTCATTGGAATGCAACAGTGTATTTGAATATACTTTCTTTTCTAAATCTCCAACTACCTTTTTCAATGACATTCTGAAGGAAGACTTACTAACAAATAAAATTCCACTGATAATTTATTTCAGCTTTTAATATATTTTCTACTATAAAACCAAGGTGTGAAGACAGAAAAATATTACTGGTTTTGTTATTACAAAAACAAGTGAGAACTTTTAATTCACAAAGGATGAAAACACAAGACATTAATCTCACTGTACATACAATATTACAATAAACTGATTAATTGCAGACAAATAAAACATTTAAGACTTCACACACACACACACACACACACACACACTCGTACCTTGACACAAGAAACACGGGACAATTTTAATCTTTGATACATGTTCATGAACACCAAGAGCAAGAACATCACTGATTTGAGTCTAATTGTTTTCCTGGTATACAATAACTATATAAGCAAGATCTAAAGCATATTGTGTTATCTTTAAGGACATCTTTAAGCAAATATAAACATTCTGATTTAGGGCTTTTTCTTCCCACCCAAAACAATCTGCTTTAGCTATCAAGTCGTTTGGTTTGTTATCAATTTAACACACCACAACAACAAATACAGGATTTCTACCACAAAATTCAGGTGAGAGGTTTATAGACAGATCATACAAAAACATACTTATTCCCAAGGAAGGCAATCTGTAAATTATAAATGCATTCCTAAGAAAAAAAATCCTGGTCACACACAAATCACTCACTTCAAACACTGAGAAATAAAAAGTATACATGAGGGCAGAGAAATGTTGGCATGGAAGAGAGGAGAAAAGGTATGAAATGAGTAACATGTATTTGCCACAGAGAATATTGGATTCAGTCGATTTTTTAAAATGAGGTATAAGAGTATGCCAGTGAATGAAAAAACAAAAAAATTAAAAACCAAAATGCACATTTCCGATGGAAAAATCTCTAAACCTCTTATAGTTTTATTAGACATTTCATTTACAGCAGTTAATCTAGAAAAATACATTTTAAAAATCTTCAACAGACCATGCTCCTTGTAACAAAACCTTCCAAACCCTGTGTTTTATTATACAAATCAATCTACATTCACAGGTAAAAAGAATTATTGAATTTAGCAAAGTCATTTTCTACCCAACAACCATCTAATTTACAGATGGGTTTCCACTATTCATACTGGAATTAGAGTTCTGTAATAATTTTTTTCTGTGTTTTCTGTACATATTAAATAACCTAAAAGGTTTTTCTTGTAGTGCATATGCCATTTAGCAAGTCTATTCAGTATTTTTCCAGTACCATTCTCATTACAGTGATTTGCCTGTAAATGTAATTAATATCTAAAAGTGCACATAGTTAACTTTGCCAAATAATGGCCTATTTCTGAAGGAAACCTAATATTCACAGAAAAGATTACCAATATCATGATTAGAAATGTAGGGTTAGAATGTACTCTGAGACTATACAACACAATTATATACACAAGCTAAAGGACATTAAGTCTTTAGCCTATATTTACATAAAATAATGTCTGTTTCCACAGGGTCATACCAAGAACTCAGTATGGCACTCGGTATAATTAGGATTGTTAGCTACAATTCAGTATAGCTAGACAGCCCTAAAAATGCCCTGTAGTGACTTAAACTAACTAAAACTCCAGTATATCACAGTGTTTTAAGTAACATTAGTGTACTGCCCAAACAAGCAACTAAGATATCCAGTAAGGATGCTGTGTAACACAGCAAAAGACAACAAGCCTTCATCAAGGGGTTATTTTGGGTTTATAATGAATTTTAGCACTTAGACTGCCACTGCATGCAGAAACCCTGAAACAGAAATACACAGGTTTCAAAACGGATATACTTCATTTTGTTTAAAATGCCCAAGAGCGTTTCCAAAATAACTGATAGTTAAGTATTGTTCTATCAAGTAATGCATCTACAGATCTTGAGAAGAAAGTCTACATTATCCAATTTCAGGGAAAAAAATATAGTTTTCCTACCAAATTATCCAGTGTATATGACTGGTTAGAATTTTAAATTTTGATTTTTACTGAAATTCAGAGTATGAAATGCAAACATTCAGGATAAAATGAATTCATAATTACACGTAGCTCTATCAACTTGTAACAAAGCAGCAAATATGAGGGCCTAACACACATCTTGACTCTCCCCTTCCCTTCTGATCCCTCAAAAAAAAAAAAAGTGCAAAATCAAAGAGTCACTGCTTGGTCCAAAAAATAAAATACGTTTGTGTATAAACATTTGAAATCTGATGGAATCCAGCTTCTATTCCACAGGTCTTCATAAGAATCAACGTCCGAAGATGGAACTTAGCTCCAGAAGAATTAATTCTACAATCTGATTTTGGTACACAGTATGAACTGCTATATTACCAGTCTCTTTTTCTGGCTTTAACAGAGTGGGACCAAAAACAATTGCTATACTCTGATAGGTCATTCGATTTTTCTCTCCATTTTCTATAACTCTGAAGGGAAAAAAAGAAGTTGTTAAAGGAGAAAATAAAAGACAGGGAAAATTCTTCAAGTGGTATTAGATACCTAAAAGTTTGCATTTTAAAAAGAGAAGTAATGGTCATTTTCCTAAAGTGACACATAAACTATTTAACCAAGTAGAATTCTGTCTAAATGCCATGCAAAGCTTCTTTTTGATAAACACAGCTGAATGGTGTAATTAAGCATACTCTAACAAACTTTTAAATGTGTGACATTTTAGCTTAGTTTTGAAAATAGAACATTTAAGTATAATTCAGATCACAATGACTGCCCTATTACGCTGATGGGAAAAAAATCTTATTAGGGCGTGGAGATTAAACTTCCATTTTACTCATTTTATGTTAACTTCTTTTTAAAAAATCTCTCTAGCTAGGAATTTTTGTTTTAGTATTCCAGTGTACTTTCTATCAGATGAAAAATTCAGTTATTAAAGCAGCTATGTAGTAGCCCAGAACCATGATGACTTTATTATAGAGTAACATAATACACCTCAATTAATATCCAATCTCATCTTCACATTAACTTTAGCAACAATTCCTGAGCACCTACTATGTGCAAAGCATTACATAAATACTTCACATATAATATCTACTTTATTGTATTCTTCATAACAAATCATTGTATCCATGGTGGACTGATACTAAAAGGAGTTGAGTACCTTTTTCAAGTTACAAAGACAGCAAGTGGCATAGCTGGGAACCAAACCTGAGTCTGAGTGACCCTGGCCCTGCAGGCCTTCCTGCTTCCCCTTGTGCTATACCACATCCCATGACTGGGCAGTCCTCCTACCTTCTGAGATGTCGGAAAAGAATCTGCATTGTATCTTGGTTTGGCTTTGGCAACTGTCTAATTAGGTCCTTAACAGCAGTGACTCGCTGTCTTGGTTCTTGCTCTGAAAAAAGATAATAACCAGATATTTTACAGCAAATTCTTATGAAACTGAAAGCAATGACAGTTTGGAAGCTGATATTTGGTAATACACAGTGACATCTGGTGGTCACATTTAAAATGTTCACAGTAAAACAATCTTGAAAATATTTGCTTAAAGTAAGATCCAAAAATAGGGTAGCTTAATCTGTGCAAGGAATTTTCAGTATCTGGAAAAAAACTGAATAGAATTACATACTTACTAATTGCATTAACAAAATCATTAAAATGATTAAATGTAAAAAGTGGTTCTGGTAATTCTCGAAAAAACATTTTGAGTGCTCCAGTAATGACATGAATATCTTCCCATTTACTGTCGTTCAAGTCCAACTTCTCATCTGAAAGACAGCAGGAATTGGACATTGTAAAAAATAACTTTAAGCCAGTTCAAAAAGTTATGAATCTGAATAACAGGTAATATAATCTTACCGTGATTGACTGCAAACCTTAGTTTCTGGATCACTGCGAGGTTACCACTTACTCTGTATATCCCATCAACATCCAAACCTAAGAGACAATAATAATTATTGTATGTGTGTTTAAACTATCTGTTTGCCTCTTCTGAACATGTCTGCATGTGTCAGAATTCTTATTCATTAGCATTAACCTAAAATCAAATGGACACAAATATTCTTTTTCTTTAAATGACTTCTGGTCCATGCTTGGCAAGGAAGAGAGATGGAGATTCACTCTGAATTCATTTTAATAAACAGCAGTAATTCTACTCTGCTCATCATGTAGAGTGCGAATCAGCTCAAGGAAATTGTTTCATTAATCTTAAAACACTAACAATTTCAAATAAATTTCTGCAAACAACTAGGGATAATTCAAAAAGTAAAGGAAGCCAGTAGGTAAAATCAGCCCATGCATATTTTGCACACCATTTTATAATATAAACGCACATATTGTAAAAAGTTTATTGAAAGTGTCTGTCATACTAAGTGCTTGTAATAAGTAAACTTAATGTAAGCTAACAACTAAACTAATGGTTCTATAAAAACAAAAGTAATTTGCTATAATTTATTATTTTCTTTTATATGTGGAACAGAATCATCTGAAATTCATACAATTAAGCCCCAAAATTTCAGGTATTCATTAAATGATAACGGTGTACAAATTTACTAAAGCACATTATCAAATGTACTACTCATTTCGTTTCAAATAAAGACAATAGTGTGGAATCTCTATTGCCATGCTGACAAGAAAAGTCAATGAGACAAGAGATCTGTAACTGGCAGAAATTACAAATTAAATTATGTGTTTTAATTGTACAAAATGTTTTTCATGATATACAGATATAAGTTAATGCTATTACAATCAGTATACTGCTAATTTATATGAAACTAGTATAAATATTATAGCTATGTTTAAATTAACAACAGAAATTAGTTTGTCATATTTTACAGAAAATGACGTAAAAAATATTTATCTCATGAGACAACTGTGGTTGATTTAACAGTTTATAATGTCATCTGATTTAGAACAGAAGAAACTTAATAAGTAAACACAATCTTCTCAGATCTTATACAGTGTCAAATTATTTCTTAAAAATAAACTCAATTTCATAATCAGTATCTTCCTCATTTTAAGCAAATGCTTAAATGAAACAACTTCAAAGAACACCATATACTTAACTGTGAGTACCAAACATTCAATAGATGCCTGGAGAGGTCTTAATTTGAAACAGTGGTAAACATGTAAGTGTTTTGCAAACAAAATGATTTTCTTAACATCTTAGGACTATAAGGAAATTTTGGTTGCATCACTCAAAATCATAAAAATTCTAGGAATTTTGATGGCAAAACAAGAAGTTGGTTTCCTTAAAATCAAAATAAAAAATAAAACAAAAATCCTTCTCTTACCATGTTCTTCAACGTGTTCAATACATAACTTCACAAACTTTGGTACTGTGCCATTCTCTCTCTGACACAGATTAGCAAGATTGGATCCAAATACCTGATCTGAAAAAGATTTATTTTTAAAAAGTCAATCATCTTGCTGAAATTCAGTTCATGAAATGGGTAACCATTCAGAGTACAACAGAAACATCCAGTGTAACCAGATATTGTTTAAGAGGGCCCTATGCCTTATGGAATATGCGTTTTGCCTACTTCTTCAATTTCATATCAAACAATTCGTTTTTAAACGTCATGAAGACCCTCACTCACTCTTGCCTGACAACACTGTACTTTCTACTGCTTCGGCAGAAAGCAATTTTCCACCCAGCTTGGCTCCTTCTTCACTCCAGGTCTCAGCTAGAAGTCACATGCTTAAATAACCCCTCTGACCATCCTTACCTAAGAGAAACCAATTCTAGTCACATCCTAGTTTACTACTATGTTAGATTCATAGCATTTGTCACTATTTCACATTATCTTGTCTACCTCCCACTTGAGCATTAAGTTTCATGAGGGGAAGGACCATGTAGTTCCTGAACACCAACAGGTATTCATAACACCTAGGCTCATGCCTAGCACTTAGTAAATACTCGATTACTTTTAAAACTATTAAAATAAGCATCTAACCACTCATCACATACCAACATTTGATTTCACAAAATGTATTTCAAAGACTCTTCTATGAATCTTTCAACATGACAGTTTTGAAATTCCGTATTAGCAATAAACATTCAGGAAAACAAACAATTTGAAGTGATGAGTAAGGCCATAAAGTGACAACAGTTTATATTTCTCAGGCAAAAGGCATGGTGAACAAATTAGCAGCAGTTTGCATACATTTATTTGCCAGGCCTTTTTTGTTTTTTCAAGACTCTAAACTCATCATGCAAATTCATATGCTTTATTTGAGGATACCTGTGATCTATAACTCTTGAAGTTGCTAATTCGAATTACTTAATTAGCTAGACTCTTCCTAGACGTCTTAAATACCTTTTTTTGGACAAAGTCTTGTTCTGTCACCCAGGCTGGAGTACAGTGGTGCAATCACGGCTGCACTGCAGCCTCTAATTCCTGTGTTCAAGTGATCCTCCCACACAGCCTTCCAAGTAGCTAGGACTATAGGTATGTGTTACCATACCCAATTACTTTTTTGTAGAGAGAGGGAAGGGACTCCCTGTGTTACCCAGTTTGGTCTTGAGTTTCTGGACTCAAGCAATCCTCCTCCTTCCCAAAGTGGGGGGATTATAGATGTGAGCCACTGCACCTGGCCTTAAATACCTTCTTAATAAACTTATTTGCGTATTTTAATGCAGGTGCTTCACAAATAGATGGTCTCTATAAGAAACTTCATAATAATCAGAGACAGACATATACATTATAGACTATTATTTTTACCTTTATTTTTATGAATAAATGCCATTGTTTTAAGTCATATATTAGAAAATTTTACCTCTGCAGTTAAACATGCTTGTAAGAACTAAAAGCATACACAAATAATGTAATTTTTAAAGAATATTTTTCTATTAAAAAGATTGTTAGTCCATTATGGTACTTATAAATAAGTATATAAATCAGAAAAAAAAGGTACTTTATGCTAATTTTTAAATGACCTTAAATGACAATTGAAGGTAAAAATTTGTTCATTTTTCTTCTTTCTACTGTTAGTGATAGCTTATTCAAAATTTCCTATTTCTTGTGATCTTTACATCTCAAAACTAAACTTTCCACTGTCACAATTTCTAAAAATCTGCCACCAATCACATCCACATAGTTCCTCTGAAACAGGCTTTCTAAAAGTTTTTTTAAAAATCTATTTTAATTACTTAAATGTCTTTTAATCATTGCATTTGAATACTTGAATAAATATTCTTACTGTTTGAAAAGATTTGTTTTTAATTTGAAACATCTTATTTGTGATGTAGGCCAACATTCATTATTATCAACAATACTTCTACCAACCTTTAATATAACCCTTTTCACGAACAGCTTGCAAAGTGGGGCGTCGTGTGAGAAACTTCTTTAAGTTTTTCTTGGTTTTTTTCTGTTCTGAAGAATCTATTGTAGATACTTTCAAGGCTTAACACAAAAAGAAAGGTAATAAGCATTTGTAAAAATAAAGTTTTTTTTGACAAAACTTTTTCCAGCTAGCATGCAAAAACAAATTAACCTGATATGTCAAGATCACAGTACAGTTCAGTTACGTTAGCTTAATGTGGTTTAAGGATAAGATGTGAAGAATTACATTAACACAGACCCCATTTCAAAGTTATACACCAGACAAACATTTCGTTTTTATCACTAAAAACATTACAACTGTACCTTCTATGGTATATCTGCCAAGACATCCCTAATTTAGTCTAACATATTATTTCATAAATGATTACTTATCTTTATTGATTTTATATCAGTTTAAGAAGATAAAATGACCATCAAAAAGTAAAAATACATAAAACACATAACAAAAAATCCCTATCTTTACTGAACAAGAAAACTAGAGATACACATAAGATACACAGAGATATAAATATAGATATATACCATCATAACTATTATACTTGTACTTTACGCTAACTCTCATTGCAATTATTTGTACTCTGAACTAAGAATGGAACCACCTGGAAAATGTCTTTCATTGCCTTTAGTCCTAAGTTCTTTTTCGGTTATAGTGACAAAAATTCAAAAGGTATATTTCTTTAAAATAATTCTATTTGGGGAAAGCTGAGAGCACAAAGAATCTATAGTATAGAATAAAAAAAATCACATTTTTACGTAAATTGCTACGTGTTGACAATGTCAGTAATAGGCCGAAACTTCATTAGAAATACAGAAAAACAGAACTGATTTTCTAATCATTCAGTTAATATGAAGGCCAAAAAGTTCTCAGTTAAACATGTGGATTTGTTAAAATAGACTGAACAAAGTACCACGTCACAGCTAACGGCCTAATTAAGCAATGTAATTCACAAAAGGCCAACATTAAAAAATGCTTTTCTTAAAGCTGCTGCTGGCTTTCACTATGCTCCTTTCTATAGTAAGATCTGAAGATAGGAATGCTTGCATCTGTTTACATGCACAGATATATCCTAGTCCAGAGACAGATGGATGCCTGGTGTCTAAAAGGAAATCACAGTAAATATCTCATGACTTTTGACTTCTTAAAGTATAAGATTCCATACAGAATCTTAATAGTAAGCATATATTTTTAAATCAATAAAGTTCACTTTCCTAGAGGCTGCAACAAAAATGCACTATATTCCTTCTCTGAAAGTAGCACAATATCTTAAAATTAGTATGATGCCATAGGATGCTACTATGAGGCTGAAAAGCAACAACGAGTTAACAAGAAAGAGCACTGACACACTGGAACTGCAACTGGTTAACTGCATAACTTTTTTGTAACATTGGACATTCCATTCCGCTTTTATGTATGTATTTAAAACCTTTGAAATGCTAAGAGAATAAGCTCAAATCCTTAGCAAAACAGGGAAAGGACAACTTACAACGAAGTTTTTTAGGATCCTTCTGTTCCTTTTCTTTATCATGCTTTTCTATTCCTGGTGAATCCGGTATCTCCTCCTCAATTCCTTCATCAGTTTCTACTGCCTATTGATTAGATATTTCCCAAATACATATTACACTTCTAGAATAACTACAGTTGGAATAGCATAATTCTCACAATGATTAGTAAATGACTCTTTCAAACAGTTTTAGGAAACCAATTAGTATACAGTATGTATGACTTACATATTTGATAAATACCTTTTTCTCTTTAGATGGCATTAATTTTGATTTCAAAAAAAAATTATTGTTGAAAATTCACAGGATAACAAGTTTACTTGATAATGAAGCTATCTTGCCTCATTTTAATCAACTGCATATTAGTGACACTAATACTTAAAAGGTGAGGCTATAATCTATGCTGAAAAACACCATAGAATTACATTCTGTGACTACAGTATAAGACTTCCTGACAAGAGTATTACACTGTAATGACAGGACAAGACTCATACTCCAGATACATGGATGTCAACTGAAAGAAATCCTAGAGCGGCCAGGTCCGGTGGCTCACACTCATAATCCCAGCACTTTGGGAGGCCAAGGTGGTCAGATCACCTGAGGTCAGGAATTTGAGACCAGCCTGGCCAACATGTTGAAACCCCACCTCTACTAAAAATACAAACATTAGCTAAGCGTGGTGGCATGTGCCTGTAATCCCAGCTACTTGGAAGGCTGAGGCAGGAGAATCGCTTGAACTTGTGAGGCAGAGGCTGCAGTGAGCTGAGATCGTGCCATTGCACTCCAGCCTGGGTGACAGACAGCAAGACTCTGTCTCCAAAAAACAAAGAAAGAAATTCTAGAGCTCATCTATAACCTAACCAAGGTCACTTGTACAGAATAAAGAACTGAGTTCTCAAAGCTAAAAAAACTTTGCTCTGCCTTCACATGGAGATCTTTACTCCACCTGGAATTTATTTTTGTAGATGGTGTAAGGAAGAGTTCCAGTTTTTTCTTGGGTTCCCAGCTGCACCAGCACCATTTACTTCCTCTACAGTGCTCTATCTGGCATAAAGTGTCCACAAGTATGTGAGTCTGTTTCTAGGTTCTTTATTCTGTTTCACAGGTATGTATGCCTATCCCTGTACGGATACCATACTTATTAATTAATATGGCTTTTTAAAGACTTGATATATGATAGAGCAAGTCCTTTCTCTTTCTTCTTCAAGACTGTCTTAGGTATTCTTAGTGCTCTGCATTTCTACATAAATTTTAGAATAAGCTTGTCAAGTTCTACCAGAGAAACTACTGGGATTTTAAATGAGATTCAAGTATCTCAAATCTATAAATCATTTGGAAGAAAATTATATCTTTACATTATTGAATCTTTTAATGCATGAACAGGATATACTTCTCATTTAATTAGTTTTTCTTCAGTGCTTCTCAATAAAGATTTGTAATTTTCCCTGCAAAGGTCTTGCACTTCTTGCCACACTTAGTCCTTGATATCTTCTGACACTTTGGAAACAGTATGTATTTTAAAAAAATTTAATCAAAACTATAGGCCAGGTGCAGTGGCTCACGCCTATAATCCCAGCATTTTGGGAGGCCAAGGTGGGCATATCACTCGAGGTCATGAGCTCGAGACCAGCCTGGCCAACATGGTGAAACCCTGTCTCTACCAAAAATACAAAAAATTACCCAGGTGTGGCAGTGGGTGCCTGTTATTCCAGGTGCTTAGGAGGTTGAGGCAGGCTTGAACCCGGGAGGTGGAGGTTGCAGTGAGCTGAGATCACGCCACTGCACTCCAGCCTGGGTGACAGAGTGAGACTCTCAAAAAAATAAAAGTAATTTTAAAAATTAAAAATACACACACACACACACACACACACACACACACACACACACACAAAATCATCTCTCTTCACTTGGCTTATTCCCTGAGCCTGTAGGTCTCAATTAAAAAAACAAAACAAAAATCCACTTTCCGTAACTAATACACTAGGTTCACCCCTACTTAATTGGTGTTTTTATAGAATGTTGTACACCCCTGCCATAACACTCATCACATTTCATTATATTAACTGTTATCTGTTTTTGACTATAACCTTAGCCTAGGAAAGTGCAGTATCTGTGTGCTGCTATGTCCCCAGTGCGTAAGGCATTCATATATTTGTTAAATGAATGCAAGCATACTTGCTTTCAAGAGACAGTGAATATATTACTGTGACTAGAGCTTAAAGTCCATATTGGGTAAAATAGAAGGTACAATTTGAAAAGATAGACTGGGCCTACACCGTTTAATTTTAATGAATCACAGCTTTCTGTGCAGTAGGGGATTAGAAAATTGGCATTAGAAAGTTTCACATGGCAACGGCATTAACGATGAATCAGTGATAGGTGAGATTAAATAAGGAAAAAACTGTTTAGGAGGTTACTCTTATCTTGGTATGAAGATGTAAGGCCTGCCCTCATGGTTTCAGGAATAAATGGAAAAGAAAGGACAAGATTCAGAAATATCATGCAATATTACAAACTCCAAAGGAAGAATTTATATACAGCTTCATAACTAATTTGCTAAAGAGGTAAAGTTCTCTTTTACTTCCCATACGTATTATCTTTCATTTCTGTCATTAATATAATATGATCCTCAATGAAGAGCCATGTCCCCATATGGTGAAAGGTGAAAAGGAGAATACAGAGTATAAAAAAGTGTGAGCCAGGCATGGTGGCACACACCTGTAGTCCCAGTTACTTGGGAGGCTGAAAGGGAGGGCTGCTTGAAACCGTTCAAGGCTGCAGTGAGCTATGATTACTAATATACCTGCAGAATATAAACTTGGGAATCTCTTTGGTTGTTTTACATAAAGAATAAGATATATACCAGGAACACAAGGATACTGACCAGCTTGGAAGGGAGGGGCAGAAACACTAGGGAATCTCACCAGAAAAGAAAAAATGAGAATGAAGAGACTATAGCTTCATTCATTTCACAAGTTCACCTCAGACTTCCTCTTTCACCAAATAGTGTTATTTCCAACTCATTCAGTTACTGAATAAATACTATGTACTAACCACCATTTACCCTTTCTTTCTGAACTATTTCTTTTCAGCCAATGCCTGATGTGAACATATTTCAAATCCACTGGTAGTAAACATCACATAAGTCAGAATGTTAAATCATTCACCAGCCCCTGGGGGCTGCTAAATTGACCATTGTTTTTTCCATCTCTGACAAAACATATAAAAAGTGTCTTTTCACATATAGATTGCAATCTGGATATAAAATAAGCAATTAAAAAAACAAAAAGAAAAACAGCTCTGAAGTAAAAATGTTACCTAAGTTAAAGACATACCTGATTATTGATTGTACTACTAAGAACTTTAAACCAATCATTAATAACAGTGTCATTGTCAGACTGAATTAGCAGTTCTGTTCCTTGACGAGTTTTCAGCTTTAGAGAAAAGCAGGGAGAAAAAAAAGAGTATGGTTGGTTTGTGCTTTCAGCAAAATACTGAATACCTTTAATTCAAAGTTAAAGCCACCAAGAGTAGCTGCTATATATTATGTAATAATGTAATGATTATGATATGATGTTATATATTATGTAATAATGATGTAAGGTTAAAGTACTACAAAGCTATGGAATACCTTTTTAGTTTAAAATAATATCTGTTGAATAAAACATAAAGTTGTTTCTCATAATAAATCTCATAAAAATCTAATAATTTAGAATCCCAAATACCATCATACAAATGCCATAAAACCCACTGAAACTAGTATGGTTTATCACTTAAAAATCAGTTCAAGTATCAAAGTAGAACATTCTAAATTAGAATAAAGAAATAAAATCAATGACATTTTTACACAACCTGAGAAATTTTTTTCTGTCTCTCTGGCTAAAAAATACAGAAGAAATAATATATAAAGACCTTCAGTAGTTCCTAATTAGTAAGTAAATATAATGGCTTAGTACAACAGGCATAGATAAATGTCACACCCCTTTTGGGCAGAAATATTACAAATTAAGTGTCAGATCATGAACTGAAGAATACTACGTATTATTCTATAAGAAGGCAATAACTAATTTATGCACAATCTCTGTTTTGCAGTTTCTTGCACTTGAGGAATAATATTGACACATTGTGGAAACCGTTCCTCCCGTTTTCCGATTAAAAACTGATTTTTTTTTCCCTAGAGAAAGATATAGCAATGTTTCCCAAGCAACATTCTGAAACATATTCCTCAAACATAGTTTCACAAATACTGTTTTTAAAAGGTACCCTCAAAAAACAATTATTGAAAAAGTTATATAATATTAACTTGGAAAATACTGAATTGAAGAAAATCTAACTAGATTCGCTCCTTCAAGATGTCACAGGCTTTTGATATTCTAGGGTGCACTGTGATTTTCTAAGAAAGGAATAAAATATACACTGCCTCCCAAATTTATTTGACCATGGAACAGTTTTTATTCTGGATTTACCTTTTGAAACTACAAGGCTAATTCAGGAAATAGTGACTTCTTTCATGTACTTTTTTAGAGTTGGTCAAGCCAATCAATATTGAATGTTCACTGCAGATAAGATACTCTGCTCTGTTATAGGTTCTTATATAAAGGAAAAACACAGTCTCTCTACTTAAATGAAAAAGAAAAAAAAATTGTAATCATCTAATGAGGGAAATAATTGACAAATGATAACCCAAGTAAATTAAAATAAATATTATTTTAAATATTTATTATTATTATTATATATTTTTTAACTTAAAAAAATTTTTAAACATGGAACGCTTCACGAATTTGCGTGTCATCCTTGATCAGGGGCCATGCTAATCTCTGTATCGTTTCAATTTTAGTATATGTGCTGCTGAAGCGAGCTAAATATTTATTTTAAAGTACTTATTTTAAAATAAATATTATTTACTACTATAAATAAAGAAGTAGGCTCACTGTTATGGTGATGCTTGTCACGGGTCTTGGAAGAAAGGGAGCATTTGGCATGGAGAGATTGGCATGGGTTGGTGCCAGAGGCAGAATAATAAAGAGTACAAATCAGACAAACCGGAAAACCTAGGCTTATTTGAAAACAGCAATTAAACCAATCTGTCTATACAACAGAATAGGAAAGGCCTGAGACATGAGGCTACAAAAAGAGGCTGGGATATGGAAAGCTGTCCACAAAATCAGTCTTAGATCTCTATAACCGCACCCTTCTGCAATGGGACAGACATTGTTGCTCTTCTGTCAACAGCAGCTTCTCTTTCCCCACAACTCAATACCTGGCTAACCTCCTAAACAGTCTTACAATGAATACTATGAAAATAATGTGTGACTTCTAAATCTAGGCCCTGAGAAGCCCTGCAGGTTCCACCCTCACCCTCTGGGAACCCTGAGGTCGCCACCTGACACAGCCCTGGGTGGCCCCTTGAGAATGACAGATCTTGCCGAGAAGGAGGCCTCCCAACAACTAGCCAATATCAGCCATGAAATCATCTTAGATCATCCAGTTCCAATAAAGCCACTAGATGACTGAAGCCTCATGAATAGTCCTAAGTGAGATCAGAAGAATCACCCAGCTCAGCACAGGCCAGACTGAGCAAACAAAATTGTTCTTTTGTTAAACCACTAAGTTTTGAGATAGTCTCTTATGCAGCAATAAGCAACTAATATAGGATCATGTATTATTGGGGAAGGTTTTGAAGAATAAAATGGAAAGGTTTTTTTTAAAACAGACTTTATTTTTTAGACCAGTTTTTGGTTCCAGCAAAACTGAGAGGAAGATATAGATATCTCTATATCTATATGCCATATGCCCTCTGCCTCCACACACACACATGGCCTCCCAGCTTACCAACATTCCCCTTAATTTATCTTTTAATATTAGGTTTGGTAAGTAAAGGGAAGCACATCCTTTTTATTATTGCTGGAAAAAGACAGGATACATGAAACAAAGGCTTGTAATAATGAGTTCAAACAACTTATGCAAATAAAGCCAGTTTTTACATCAGTCTTTTCTTAAATTATGATACCATCTAACTTAATCACCAACTTTGCCTTAACTAGTCAATGAAAGACAATTTCCCAAAATAGTTCAAAAAACAGAACATCTAGTTACTATAGTTTACTTAGAAAAAAATGCATTACCTCAAATACATTCTTTTTGCTGGATTTATCCTTTGAAGCCATCTCAATTGTTGCTCCCTTGAGATCCACTGTGAACTCTGGTTTGGACTGATTACTCCCAAACTTAATTTTTGAAAAAGGAAAAAAAAAACCTTCATGTGATAATCACATATATGTGTATTCAAAAGGAACTAAAAACAATTTTATATTGTTAATAATAAATCAAATAGATTTTCTCAAATTCTTTTCTCCATTATAAAGTAACAATTTCTACTTTAAAATTGAAAAATATCTAGAATATATGAATATACAATTCATAGAAAACAAAATAAAATCACTCAACTTCCACCATAATATAAAATATATAGACATAAAAAGCCAAGCTGAAGTCTTTTTTTTACCATAAGAGTGGAAACAAATTTTTTCAAAACTATGTTGGTGAGGCTATAGACTAAAAAGGCCTCATATGCAAATGGGATATGAACTGGAACTACTCCCAGAAAAGAAAAACTGGTAATGCTATATTTACAAATTTATAAATGCATGTATACTTTGGCTTGGCAGTTATGTATCTTGGAATTTATCCTAGACTATACACAACTGTGTAAAATGCTATGTACACAAAGGTAATACTCTAATATATGTAATAAACAATATCAGGTAGATAACAAGGGCATTTTCCACCTCATAAACATTCTCTAAAACTGATTTTGTCCTTTAGAAGTATTTCCTTATTGAGTTACATTGTTAACAGTAACTTGTGGAAACAGAAAACACTAAGTCCCATGTCTTTTTTTCTGTCTTTGTTAGAAACTGTGACTAGAGACAGATGCTATAAAGCTTCAGCAACTTAATGAGGAACTTTGAAAAGAATGGGAAGACAGTTGTTACGGATGGGTTCAGAAGAAAAAGTGCGTAGCTAGCTATTTTATTTTGTTAACTACATAAGGAAAAGATTAGCAAAAACAGTAGAAAATTTATGTTAAATATACACTACTCTGTTCCCTGACATCTTTAAATTTCTGTTTAGTCTGTTAACTAAGAATAGAGAGTAACATTCCTACAGTATTGAAAGGCTTAAAGGTTTTAAAACCTCTAAGGTCTACTGAACTGTAATCTAAAGATCATAAAAACCTGTTATAAATATTTCCTATAGAGAATTTCATTTGCTAAAACATTTTCAAATCAAATTAATTTGTCATTAGAAATTATCTTACCCAACCTTGTGATAACTTATTCACTATTTGTAATCTCAGTAACTCTACTCTAGGAGCTTCACATTTAAAATAGTTTGCCTTAACCTGTTTCCTTTTACATCTTTTTTAGCTAGCAGCATGAATTTAAAGTACTAATTTTAACAAAATTTAGGAGTTACATAAAATTTATTAGTAGAGTAAAGGCAAATTTTAGGATAATACATGGAATTTATGGAATCATAATAAAAATCAAAATAGAAATTTTAACTGTATTCTACAAAGTCTTTGCCTTAAGTACCTTTTGTCAATCAAAAGACAAATTAAACATAAAGCTGTATGTTGGGCACAGACAACTTCCTGAGCATAAATGATATATTGCAAATGTTATCAAACGTGAACATATATTTAACAAAATGAAACATATCAATTATTTAATTTGTTGTCATTATACATGCTGTAGATGGCTAGCTCTGAGCTAAGATGCAAATAAGCAACCAAATAAGATATAGCAATTAAATATAAATACAATGACATGACATGGAATGCTAAAAAAAAAAATGCAATCAGTATAGCTGGCAACCTTTTGTTATTCTTTTCCACAATCTAGTCCCACTTTTCTCTACTGTAATCAACCTCCCACCAACATATTCATGGCAAAGAAAACAGAATTATTGTGGCAAATGGCATGCAACAGGAACACATACAGTGACGGCTGAAACAGGATCAGACTTTACATATGCAACAGCAGGCCGATGACGGACAGAGTTTTTCCAAGAAGAAAGCAGTGAAAGCAAGAGCTCAGAGACTGAGCCTTGTTGGCAGAAGGACTTGATGGAAAAGGGAAGAAAATGATGATGTCATAACAATGCACAATGGCAAAATGACACACAAGAGAAAAAGCATAATGGAACCAGACAAGACAAAGATGCAATTCCATATGCAGACATACAATTTAAGCAAAGCTAAACTTCCAAATATTTTTACAAAGGTCCTAGAATTTATCCTGATTGTTATTATATAAATTTATTTTTTAAGATGAGTGCTTTATAGAATTTATCTTAAACAGACTTGTGTTAGGCATTGAGAGGAGCCATGTTGGGCCCACCATGATCTTAATAGACCCTGTCCAAAAGCCCCAAGCTTTCACCTCGTGACCTGCTGAGCAGTATCTTCTGGTGTCCCTTTCCAAGTAGGGAGTACCCCTACCATCTAGCCTGCCTTTTTCTTCCTCTAGGACACTGATACTTTCTCTAGGAGACAGGGAATTTTGTCTTCTGGGGGACATCTGGCAATATTTGCAGATGTTTTTAGTTGTCACAACTACAGGCGGGGTGCTAGTCATCTGCTAAACACCCTAACATGCACAGGACAACCCACCACAACAAATAATTATCTGGCCCAAAAGAGTGACTATTTTTAGAAATTTGAAAGCATGTACAAATGAATGTTTGAATAAATTACCAATGAATGTCTGAATATTTATGGGTTAATTTTTTAAATGCTCAAGGAATATGATGAATGATAACTAAGAAGCAAAACGTATGTCAGGTCCCACTGAACCTGTTCACTTGTTAGTGTTTCCCATTACAACGTAAGCTTTGAAGACAGGGACCACGTTATTTATTTCTAAACTCAAAGCTTAACAATGTCCAGAACACAGCAGACTTTTAGGTCTACTGAACAAACAAACAAACGAACATACACACATACATTTCTGAGGTGAAATGAAGTGAGAAAAAACAACTATAAGTTTATGTTACTGATATAACAATCCAATAGGTAACTGTTTTCTAGAAACCACTGGAAGGTATCAGTTCCAGAGGAGTAGGAAAGGCTCACTAAATTTTTGGATGAGACAGCACCAATGTAAAATATTTCTTATAAAGTGGAATTGCATGCAGCCTATGTGCATTTCATTTACACAATTTTAACCATTCATTTTCTGCAAAAATATATATGACTATCAATTCAAAGCATGAATAATTTAAAAAATAGAACTTTGAATAATGTGGGTGACTTTGCTCTGTTCCATCAATGAGTACATGCCCTGGAGTGAGTGCAAGATTTGAAACTGCCTTCCTCCAGTGGATCTCAAGTTTTTGTACTAAGTGTGAATCTAATTTTTAAAGAACTATATGGATTTTTCCTATAATGTGGCCCCTTAACATAAGCCATTCAAACTCAAATGAAGGAAAAGCTATTTCTTCTAAAACCAAAGGAAATATGAGCTCTGCTAAAGATCAGCTTCTGTATAGCATCTTCCTAAAAGAGCAGTTTTCACTAGAGTTGATTGTTGGTTTTTTGGCTTATATTTCAGTCTTAGAATCTTGTCCTCAGGTAAGATGTGATTCTGCTGTATAAATAGAAGACATTTTACCTATAATAGATCTAGTTGGTGACTGAGCAGATCAACAAAGCTACTATTCTTTAACATTCTTTTCAATAATCCCAATTCCAGAGTTAAGAAGCATCTTGCATGTTTCTCTAAATTTTGATATTTATGAATATTGACTGTACAACCAAGCATTTTACCACAACTTTGATTTTGTTTAGTCTTTACTGAGACTATAAAATGGTGTGGTTATGTTTTTTAAATTACACATATCTGAAATGATTATATTATTAATAATACATAAATAGTAATATGTCATTTAAAGGTAAAAATTCAAATAGGGAATCCTTATAATTAAAAATTCATTGAGAATTCTACAATCTCAAAATTGGCTAGCTCACTAAATTTTAAAGTATGTTTCAGCTATCGCCACACGGTAACAGAATAAAACCTTGGCAGATAAACAGAAATACCTTACCTCCTTTGTCAGTATTAGTTTTAATTATAAGTTCTGACTTATGTAAGATCTTCTAAAATGAAAACTTTAAATGAAAAAAAAGTAACCATCCTGTACTAATGATTATGTACTGGAAGATATCATTTAACATCTTCAAATTCAAAATAAGTTTTCATTTTTTAAAATCACATACAAACCTGCCTACCTATGATGCTCTGTCTACTGGCTTCATCTGTACCTGCCACAACCTCCAATCTTTAAGTATCAGTAATTATCAAATAAGGGACCACTATCCAGCTTTCTTCAGATACTTTTTAAAACTACTTATTAATCTCTCATTCCTTCTCCATTCCTTTTCTTTCATTTTTTTCACTAAATTTCAAATAAAATTTGAGCCATAAGTAGGAAGAAAAAAACAATTACACAGTTGAGCACCTCGTGTTTCACCTCAGGGGGAAAGGGGAAAGATAATTATCAATTTACTTTAAGATATATCAAACCAAAATTTCAACCCTTTCACAGGTCATTTCTACTGTAGTGTCTGAACAGGGAGCAAATTAAAGGGTTAGTAAAGCCAAACAGAAGAAATGATCTAAATCGTTCACATCTGAGCTCAATTCATGTGGACTTTAAGGTTTCTGTATCAGAGAAGCTGAGGACTAAAATGTTCTGTGGTATTCCGGGTTCAGAACCATGTTACATGGCTGCATTATAAACAGAGATGGGCGAAAATTTGCTTAAATTTTACAAATAAACTTTTCTTTCATCAAACATAAGATTCATAGGTTTTGTATTAATTTTAAAGAAACTCATTAAGTATAAGAAAATATTGGTTACAGTAGAACATGAGGCAGACCAAACACATTTAGAATAATTTCATCTTAAATTTTACTTGAGCATGAGCACTTCAAACTCAATTACCAAACACTTTTAGAAATAGCCAGAGCATGGACTCCAGAGCCAAAAAAGCCAAAGTTCTAAACACAGATCTGCCACTTGGTAGCTCTAAGACCTTAAGCAAGTTATTATACGTAACTATTTTATACTCATTTTCTCATCTATGACGGGGGGAGGGCAAAATCAGAGCAATAGTTATCCCAGCATTAAGGAGACAATATGTACACAATCCTCTGCACTAAGAACATATGTGGGATACATAATGAGCATTCAAAAAATGTAGCTATTATGTCACAAATTATAATTTTTAGTATTTGTATTAAAATAACTGAAGAGCAGCATAATGAAGGTAAGCACTCAAATGTATAAAAAGCTTCAAAACCCCATGATGGTGAACATTTCTTTTTCTTTTGAAAGCTGGATGACAATACAGACATTGACAAACCTGAATCACTGATTTGTAACCAAGGGTCAGATCACAATTCAAGATACAGCTTGCCATATTACTGCTTATTTTCTGACTAAATATGTGAAATAACAGAGTCACAAACACAGGAAAGCTTTAATATCCTGAAAATGAATCAAGAAATGTATTTGCTCTATAATGCCCATGTAATAAGCCCATTTTTCAGCTGAATGGATAAAACAGAATGATGTTTTTAATAATACAACTAATTAGAATGTCCTAATTAGTCCTTTTTCTCTCATAAGTTAAAATGAATCTTTAAGAAAAATTTTATTTATTTTTATTTGCACACTACCTGTAACTAAAAGGACTGGAAATTACCCCCTGAAATTCAGGTGAGTACATAATTTAAATGTATAAAATCTCCAAAGAGAAGAAATACTCACCCAACTTGTGCTACTTCCTTGAGTTTTGGTAAAAAGTAAAGATGAACCCTGCAACACTGCCCAAGAAGACAACCAGTTCTTTCTGTAATTATAAAGATGACCGATTAAGGCTTCACTCTCAAGTTCTTTCAGCCAAATTCAAAAAATTAAGATCTACTTAGCTGTTATCAATATTATCTACCATTTATAGTTCTTGGGGACATTTTAATTGTTTTTATTGGGGATAGACAGATACTAATGAAATGTACAGTCATTTTATGGTACAAACCTGATCACGAGGGCCTGAAAACAAATGAAGTTAATCAGAGAAATAAGTTATCAGAATAACTATGAATAAATGATACATGTAATTATGTTCATGTGAAATTAACACAGCACTTTGTGATCAAAGACACTAATTTATTTTGAAGTCACACAAATGGAATATTGTATTTGCCAAGAATTCTTACTTGCAAGTAAAAATTAGACAAACATGCTTCCCTCACTCATCTAATTCTTTACACAAACTGTTTTACATTTCTTGGCTATCTGCCTTCTCCTAATTGGGCTGGAGTACCCAGGTAGTAGGTACTAGGTGCATTACAGGCATGCAATGAATTGCATACTGATGGACCACATGACATTAAAAAAAAAAAATGTTTCCTACATTACAAAAGCAACACATATACAGTATGCAAAAACTCTGAATACAGAAATGTGTAAAGGAAAAGGGATCCCATTTCTTCTTCAATCCACACTCCAGAAGTAAGCAATGTTAAGAATTGGGTATAATTTGGCTTTTAAAGAAAATGTCTACTCATCTACTGTCCTATCTCCAGAGACAGAGGTAAGACTCACATAGCATATGTTATTATCAGTGCCCCTATTTAGAACTTTAAAGCTTTTGAATACTATACCCCAACCAGATTCCACTCAACTTCTCCCTTCATTGTCATATTAGACATTTTTATGTAAACATTTCTCTCTCATAGGAATTGTAAATTATTTGAAAAAAGAAAACAGCTTTTATTTATTTTTGTATCTACCTCAGGCCTAGCACAGTACTTTCCAAACAGCAGGTATGGATCAGTGTTTACAAATAGAAAAATAAATTAAAATTACCCTATATGGGGACTCAGTTGCTAGGAAGCTAAAATGAATGTCATATCTGTCTACTGCAGGGATTTATTAAAGCTTTCCTTATAGCTAAACATGTGGCCAAATTTGTAAAAACCTCTAAAGGAGGATTATTTTTTGTTTTCAGAATGCAGAATTTAGTATCTAACAATGAGACCTACTTTATTACTTTTTATGTCTACTTGAACTTTATGAATGAAAAGAAGTGAAATAAAGTTAATTACTATTAAGTTTCTATGTTTCCATTTATTTCTCATATTTTTTTGCTTATGGTAGTTAATGCCACTTTATTGGGTAAATGGTGATTCCTGATAATTACATCTTCACTGTGGACTTCTCCACATGCTTTACCATTTTAAATACACTTTTGTAATGCTTAGTGCTCTGCCTAGGATGAACTTTGCTACTGAGATCCCTAGTCCTGCTTTACTTTGTATACCTTTGTCATACCTTATTGCTTTTTTTTCCCCAACATTTCTGAAACATCTTTAGGTGATATAAAACTTCTTTTACATATAAAACTTAGTTAAATTTTGCTTTTTTATGCTTCAGTCTGAGCAGCTTTTTCTTTCAATAGATGAGTACAGTCCATTTACATTTACTGATATTGATAGTATAGATGGTGCTTTTTCTGTCATCATTTGATTTCATTTTTGGGATCTCAAGATATTTTAGGAGTATTTATTTTATTTGTAAATTTATTTTATACTCTCAGTCCTCTATTTCTTTAGATATCATCTACTGTCTCCCTACTATGAAAAATACTTAAATTAGCCTATTTCCACTTTAAGTAAGCTTTTTTAGTCCAATTTTCAAAATAAGAAAAACTGCAGAACTAGTAAATATATATCTGAGAACAAATACTGAATATTTAAATAGTGAAATAATGATGATTGCCTCAAAAACTAAGTACTTGTATGACTTAGTTGCAAGGTGAATTAGTCACATTTTTTTTCCTAGAACCCAATTTTTTTCTCCTGAAAAAACAACTGATGGACATACTACAGTTATTCAGACTTGGATATGTGGCAGGCAAACATTATTTTAAAAATAAATGAAGTTTTCAAAGAAAACAAATATTTATAGACAATAAAAAATTATTTACAGACAAAAAAAATTCATTCAACACAAATGAACCTCAAGGACATTATGCCAAGCAAAATAAGCCAGTCGCAAAAATCATACATATACCATATCATTCCACTAATATGTAAGGTAGTCAAAATCACAGCAGAAAGGTGGTTACTAAGGGCTGGGGGATGAAGGAACAGGAAATTAGTGTTAGTAGGTATAGAGCTTCAGTGTTATGAGATGAAAAAGTTCTAGAGATCTGTTGCACAACCATGTGAATATACTTAACACCACTGAGATGTACACTTAAAATGACTAATATAGCAAACTTATGTATTTTTTCACCACCATAAAAAAAATTGAAGCTTTCAAACAGAAAGTAGAATTTTGGAACACTTGGCACCTGCTATAGTGGATTTGACAATTTCCCAATACTTTTCTGATAGTACTGATTTGTGATTCTTTGATATTATAAAATAAACGGTGTAAACCTTTGAGAAATGAGCAAAGTAAGTTAACTAGTATTTTACAAATGATCTACAAGATATTATAAAATTAAGCATGGACAAGGACTCATTCAAATGTAACACAGACTAATGGCTTTTAATGTAACTGAGTATGAATCATTCACTGGCAGTTTTTCAGAGTCTTCACTACAACTAACCCTCCACAAATTACCATTTGTAGAGTTTCAGAGCAGTAGAAAAATGCACAATTATCTGAAAAGGCTCTTAAAACATTCCTCCATTTTCCACCTTCAGCTGTGAAAGGGAGGATGTTTTTTTACATATTTCAAACACAATAGTATGTCACAACAGACTGACTGCAAGCAGAGATGAAAATTCAGCTGTTTTCCATTAAGCCAAATATTAAAGATTAACAAAAAAATGCAAAATAATGCCTCTCTTCTCATGGAAAATTTTTTGTCCTAGAAAACAAAAGTTTTTCTTCATAATAATATTTGTGTCGATTTATAATAGGTTTTTAAAGAATTAATCTTTAAAATTCTGTTTTAATTTCTCACAGTATGCATAGATATAACCTATACATTATAAATAAATATTATTAAATATTATAGATATAGACCATGGCTCTTTAGAATATTCAATAATTTTTAAGCATTTAAAGGAGTCTCAAACCACTAATATACAGGAAATTAAAGACTATTTTCCTCAATTCTATGTTAATACATTTGAATGATAAAATAGATGATTTCTTAGGAACATATAAACCGAAAAAAGTATTCCAAAACAAGCAGAAAATCTAAAAGGCTACTTATCATGGAAAAACAACAAAAGCAAAGAAAGTAGCCCAAGAGCGGTCTGCACTACATATTCCCAAAACGGAGAAGGAGAAAAATAAAGACCCAATTCACAACTGAAGTCTACCAAAGAACAGTTTAGAGGATTCATAATTGTAGTATTTATAAAGCTATTTCAGAGCACTTAAAAAAAAATCTAACTACCAAAATCTGACAAAAATAGTTCAATGAAAGCTAACCTAAAAAACTCAACTACACGTAAATTTAAAACTCTTTAAATGCGACTTATATTACATAGAGTTAATTTCCTTAAATCACTAGGAGGTACAACACATTAACCAAAAAAATTCAACAATCCAATAGAAAAACAGACAAAGGGTATAATGAGACAATTCAATAAAAAGAAAATACCAACAGTTTATGATACTGTAACCTACTAAAAAGGAATGTGAATAAAAATATAATCTTCTCTCTTCTCTCTTCTGGCAAAAATAAAAGAATTTAACAACATCCTAAACTGGTGAAAAGTGTGGAGGAATGCATGGCTATTGGAGGCAGAAATGGATTCAACATCTTATAGTACAATTTGGAACACTGTTGAAATGACTTTGCAAATGGCTGAGCAATTCCACTTTTTATAAATTTATTTTATGGGCAGGGCAGATTTACATACTTGCAAAATGAGTCATGCAAGATGCTAAATGTAATATTACATGTACTAGCAAAAATGATAAACTGACGTGTCTACCAATAGACAGATGTAGTTACAAACTTGCAAATAAATAATGGGTAAATACACTATATTGTACAGCCAAACAATATACAATTGCAGCAGTTTAAAAACAATGTGGCAGCTCTACAGGCAACAAAGTGAAACCATCTCCAAGATAAAGTGTGAAAAGATTGTGTTTAAAAAATTAATCTCTATACATACAAACATATACATATATATCCTATCTCTGGAGGAAAGCACTAGAATTCAGGAGACTTAACACTGGTTGCCTCTGGGGACGGGAACTAATACTGGCTGGGGGACTGACTTTTCACTCAATACTTAGTGTACCATTGTTTTTTACCATGTTCATTTATTGCTTACTGAAAAAAAAATATTAAAGCAAATGCATCCCCAGAACCCTCTTCCTTATTATCTCTTAATTTTACTTAGGAAATACGTCAAGACAAAGGAAAATTTTCATAAATTTCATGACAACCTTACATGATTACACAGAAAACAAATGGTGAGAGATTCTTGAGAATCTATTGTTTATTCTAAAATATAATTATATTGACAATTTTTAATTTATTTCAATCAGATGAATCATGTAAGAACAGATACTTACCGAACCTTTTTCCCATTTTCAGCAATTTTTGTTACATTTAATAATCCATATTTCTCTTGATCCTATGGAATAGAGTAATATTGTTTATATATCACTTACATCAACAATGAGGTCCAAGTTCTTACAAAGGACTGAATCAACATGCTCTAGTTATCTAAAAATTAGCTTAAAAGAAAAGATTAGTCAATGTGTAACATATGTAGTTCTGGAAGATATTAAGAATATAACTTTCCTGAAACTTTTGTAGCTTTTTTCTTAATTTTATAATTAAACACTTCCTTTTCTCCTTAAGTCACAGCAGCTATTAGATACTTTGCTATCAAATTAGATTTCCATATGAATAAAGCAGCACTGAAAAATAATTTATGTCTATTGAAAAAAGTAATACAATGCTACAAGAATAAATTCTACAAAATAGGAATGATTTACTTTGATGTTATTTTACAACTAGATAATCTGAAAATTATTCAATATAATCACTTTATCAAAATATAAAAATATCTTTCAAATCTTTCAACCAAATACAGTGACTGTATTTAATAAATTACTCAAAAGTTAATTGGTATCATGCACAGAACTTGCCTTAATGTAGCAAAATAAAATTAACATGTGCTTCGTTAAGTATATTATCAGATTGTGAATTCAGCTCTAGACAAACTAGATTTATCAGCCAGCTGATGTCAAAAACAAGTGACACGAGCTTTATCATCAAACCCTATGAAGGCAAAAGCCATCGTACTAAAGTTAGTATTATCTTAAAACTCTTCCAGATGGAAATCAAGAAGCACTTTCTCACTGCTTTAGTTTCCTAGAAGCAAATCAATTTAATAAAAATGAGCTGAGCCCACAGCAATCATTCAACATTAGTAAGCACTGTCTGTACATGAGACAATAGTCAATTTTAATTCAACTCATTGAATTAAAGCACTCATACACACAAACACTCTCTCTCACAAGGAAAAAATATCCCCAGTTCTATTTAACTGATTCCTCTGCTGTATTTTTTCAATGTACTTTAATCATAAAATATAAATTTTTCTGCATGAGAGATAAACATAATATTGAGTATTTTTCTACCAATGTCTGAAAGTTGTCTGATCTGATAAAAACTGACATCTGTAGACAAAGCTGACAAACTGTAATGCCAATTTACATTTTTGGTATACTGGGGACTTGGGAAATAGCCCATATGAAGTTTTATTGAATTTTTTCATAAAGCATAGCTTAACTCTCCTTAGATATGCAAGTCTAACACTTTTCACAAGAACTATATTGCTCCTCAACAAAAACATCAATAACAATTGTTAAGTACGTGCAAGATTTTTTTTTCCTCATAAACCCTCATGTTGAGGGCTGACTTTCAATAAATCGCAGCAAGGAAACCACATTAGATGTTAAATAAGAACATTTTTAATTTGCTGCCTGTACCTCTCGTAAGCAGTAAGAAAAGAAATCTTTCAATTATATGGAAACTAAGTGACAACATTAATCTGAGTGGATGGGCACTGATTACTTGTGCTAGGGAACACAGGAACTGAAAGGCAGAGAGGTGGGAATTAAGCCCATTTAAAAAATGCCACAGCTAACTGTTTAAAAAAAAAAAAAAAAAGCAGAGGCAGGAAGGAAACACAGACATCAAAACAGGAAGAAAAAGGATGAAATAGCAGTACTGACAAATAGCCTAAGCCTAAGGATGAGAGGGAGAGTCTAGATCAGGGATTCTCACCGAAATCAATGGATGCACTGAAACTGGCACATAACTGAGCATATATATATGCATCACTCAAAGAAAAGGTGCAGAACTTTCACCAAATTCTTACAGGGATCAAGACCCAAGTACTAATGCTCTAATTATTAATCACTCTAACTTGAACATAAAGAACAAAATCTGCTATACTCAAAATGTACAAATAGAAAGAACAATTCCCATGCAATGTGATATGTGCTACCAGAAAGCTATGCCTAGCCTAACCTAGGAGAGACAGAAGGAAATCAGACAGCCTCCTGGGGAACTTGACACTTGAACTAAGGAACATGAGTCAGCTAGATAGAAACAGGAGGGGGTAAAAACAACCAACAGTGAAAGGCACAGGGGCTAAAGACAGCATTTCATATTGAAGGCCTTTAAATTCCCTCAAAGTATTGGGTGAGGTGGAGAAGCGGCAAGAAATGAGGTAGCAGACAGAATGCAGTAAGAAAGGGAAGCATGACCAGAAACCAACTACAACACTATTTTAATAATTACTATGAGAGACAATGAAGATGTGAACTAGAGCAGTGTCAGGGAGAGAGAAGAGGGACCCAATTTGACAAATTAAGAAGATAAAACTGACAGGGACTTCTGTGAGGGTGAGAGCAAAGATCTTGGGGAAACTGCCAATCTTGGGCAACTGGGTAAATGGTGATATCACAACTTCAATGTCACTTTCGGGTTTTTCCTGACCACTTTTAAGTAATCCTCCCATTATTTATGACTGCCTCAGTTTGTCTTCCTCACTGAACTTACTACAGACTAAATGTTTGTGTTCCCAAAATTCATACGTTGAAATCTAATCACAAATGTGATGGTACCTAGAGATGGGGCCTTTGGGAGATGATCAGGTCATGAAGGTGAAGCCTACATGAATGTAATTAGTGTCCTTATAAAAGGGAACCCTTGTTATTTCTGCCATGTGAGGACACAGCAAAAAGGAACCATCTATGAATCAGAAATGTGTCCTCATCAGACAGTGAATTTATCAGTGCCTTGATCCTGGACTTCTCAGCCACCAGAACTGTGAGAAATAAATTTCTGTTGTTTATAAGCCACTCAGTTTATATTTTTGCTATAGCAGCCCCAATGGACTATGATATATTTAATGTGAGGTACAATTATATATCTTTCATTACTTTACTATCTACTCTATTAGGCCATAAACTGGCACCACATCTGTTATGTTCATCAATAATCAGTGCCTAGTACTACATTAGCATGTAGCTGGTATTCAATACATATTTGAAGTAATTTACCAATAAATTAACAGTACTTAACAAGAAAGAAATATAAGAAGGTCACCAACAGAGAAAACAAAGCTTTAACTTTTAAATACCTAAGTTTTTGAATTTGACATAAAAATAAATAGGCAGATGGGTAATACAGGTTTGAATACACAGGTGAGAGTGAGAAAAAACATTTAAACAGATTTTTATTTCATACTACTTGGTATACTTTCTCCACATAATATGCATCAAAATGAACCAATGTTTTTATATTGCTTACTAAGAAAGCTTCATAAAAAATATCTTAAGTCCCATAAAATACATACCAACTTATACCTGAGTATTTGTTGGTCTAAATATTTGATACTCTAAAAGAAACTTTATATTAAAAATAAGCAGAAATGCTTTAATAAAGACTAGCAAATTATGGTTAAATTGAGTAACAATATCATGTCCTAATAGGCAAGAAAACAATAAACTTCAAATTATACCGGGTAATCTGGGAAAAATTTCACAGGTTCATAATTACTTTGCAGGTTCCAGAATTTCTAATCAATGTTGCATTCTTTTAGTAAAGTAGGTACTTCTCAATTTAGGCTAACAAGTGTGCTATACCAAAATCAATACATCTGATCAAAATCCTCATCTTCAGTTAATCGTGTAATAATGAACTTGCACAACTGTACCTATAGTGTTGAAAAAACACCAGTGTGATGAAACATCCAGAATGGGTAAATCCATACATAGAGACAGAATGCAGACTAGTGGTTATCAAGGGAAGGGGACTGGGGAGGGTGAAATGGGGAGTGACTTTTAATGGGTATGGGTTTTATTTTGGGGTAATGAAACGTCCTATAACTAACAGGTGACAGTTGAACACACTGTAAATATATTAAATGCCACTGAATTGTACCCTTTAAAATGGTTACTGGTTAATTTTATGTTACATAAATTTTATCTCAATAAAAATAAATTTTTTAAAGAGCAAATGGTTACAAAAATAAACATTCGTGTTTTTAAAAAAGGTCTTAGAATAGTAATATTCAATGAAAAAAAAAGTAAACTTGTCCACTAATACTTTAATACTTATTAAATGTTGAAATGTCTTTTTCTCTAAATTGATTAATGCATATTAATACCATAAGTGGACATACAACATCAAAGCTCAAGTTTCTGAACTGCATATTCCAAAACTTTACTCAGTATTCAGTAATTGGGCATTTTAAAATGCATATTCTCATAGATACATTGGAACAAATAAAGAATAGCTTCTGAGATCAGCCCATGAAAACCTATTTAATCCATATTGTAGTCAAATTGTAAAAAAAAAAAATTATTGTCTTTAAAAAAATGTATATACTGCCTATTTCAAGCAGATTTAAAGGGACTACAAAAAGTAACAATCATTTAAAAATTAGCAAAGAAGAAAAAGTTAACATGTTTAAAATTTATATTAAGGGACAAAATCTTAAATCTGGTCAAAATCTGAAAGAGACAGATGAGCAATTTGCAGAGATTTTTAAGGTGACATTAGGGAACTAACCATGATGGTGTTATCATTTTCACTTCTAAATTTGTAGCTTCCTTCTTTCTTATCACTAAGCCTTTAGACCAATCAGATTTTAATTCACAAAGAAAGAGGGAAATATCTCCTTGCAGTAACTGGGTAAGAGTGGGGAAAGAGAGGCAAGATAACTAGAAGCCAGGCAAGTACAGAGGAGGAACCAGAGGACAGAGGGAGTGAAGAGACGTCACAAAGAACAGAAGCCTGGATGGGAGGCCACGACAGCAGGGACAGAGCATTCAGGAAGAAGGGAACACCATCTGGTGATGGAAAAACAGAACCACCTCTGGTTTGTTTGGCGGTTTTTTTCACCTAAAGGTAAAAAAAGATTGAAACAGAAGAAACATTGGTGAGGCAGTTCCCTGTGATGGCCATCAGAGGGTACTGTGAGTCTGGCATGGTCTAGCTGCTGTGAAGTTTCAGAAAATGGATAAATGGGTGGTGAAGTAATTTGCAAACAGTCCCTGCATGTGGAACATTTAAAAATTTGTGTTTCTGGGATTACTTAGGAATTCTCTTTTAACAAAATAAAAATAATGTATAAACAGATTTTTGTGGAAACTGTGTATTAGCTACATTTAAAATAGTTTTAAAGGGTTTTCTGCTTTTTCCAGATGGACTGATGGATTAAAAGTACTATAGTAAGAGTGCCTTAAAATTCATATGGCAATTCTTGCCAAAACCACCAAAGTCATGTTCACTTTTATCATTATGTAATGTTTACTTATCCAGTACTGTGTAAATAATGCAAAAGGATACTGTAGTCTCTATCTCCTATTCAAACTTCTTTTAGGAGTTTAAAACCTGGCAGGGAGACTACAGTTACATATAATAACTTGCCCTTATTCAATGCAATTAGCAACTTCAGAGTTCAGAGATGAAGAAGGGTTCATCTTGATGGAGGTACAGGATTTAACTATGTATAGAAAAGGCAAGGCCCACTGTAGGCAGGGTGACTGCCTGAGCCAACATCAGAAGGAAATGTGTACAACCCTTGATTAGAGCCAAAAAGACCAGATTATACTAGGGAATGGAGAAAGAGTTAGAAAAAATAAAACAGTATCTGTGGAAATCTTTACCTTTAAGAAATCTGAAGTATCCTAATAAACAACAGTCTATGATAATTTCATAAACTAGAGAAGCCATGATAAATGTTTGTCTTTTAAAAAGCTTTAAGGTTTCATTTATTTATTCAACAAATATTTACTGAGCAGCCATTAAATGACACTGAGGGAGGTTCTGGGGTAACTACGTTCCTCCTCTAATGAAGCTTTACTCTGTCTGGTGGGGAAGACAGACATTAACAGAGAGTTGGAGGGTCCTATAAGAAATAAATGACAAGTTATTTTATGTAATTGAATAATATATAATCAAATACTATAAAGAATATTCTAGGACAACTTTGCCTAACCCACAGAATTAGAATAAAATTATCTGAGGAAGTAAAGTTCAAACTAAGCCCTGATGAATGAACAGAAGTTAACCAGGCAAAGATGTGGGGGAGAATGTTTCAGCATGCAGAGGAAATGACACATGCAAGGATCCTGAGTTGAAAGGCAGGCTACTTCGAGAAACTGAGAGAAGGGCAGTGTAGTAGGACAAGCAAGAAGGGAAAAAGGAAATATGAGACGAGGTGGTGGAGGCACTCAGGAGCCAGAGCATGCACGGCCTTGTCGTGCTCCTTAGGAATTTTAGGGCTTCATTCTACAAGAAAACAGGCTGGGCATGATAGCTTATGGCCTCCCAGCACTTTGGGAGGCCAAGACAGGTGCAACTGCTTGAAGCCAGGACTTTGAGAAAAGCCTAGGCAACATACCAAGACCCCGCATCGCTATAAAAAAATTTTTTTTAATTAGCTGAGTGGGCCGGGCATGGTGGCTCACACCTGTAATCCCAACATTTTAGGAGGCCAAGGCGGGCAGATCACTTGAGGTCAGGAGTTCAAGACCAGCCTGGCAAACAGGGTGAAACCCATCTCTACTAAAAATGCAAAAAATTAGCCAGGTGCTGCAACACATGCCTGTAATTCCAGTTACTCAGCACGTTGAGACAGAAGAATGGCTTGAACCCAGGAGGTGGTGGTTGCAGTGAGGTGAGACTGTGCCACTGCACTCTAGCCTGGGCAACACAGCGAGACTCCATCTCAAAAAAAAAAAATTTAAAAAAATTAGCCAGGTGTGCTGGTGTATACCTGTGGTTCCAGTTACTAGGGAGGCTGAGATGAGAGAATCACCTGAGCCTGGTGGGGGTGGGGCAAGTGACAGAGGCTTCAGTGAGCTATGATTGCTCTACTATACTCCAGCCTGGGCAACACAGCATGACCTTGTCTCTATTTAAAAAACAATGACCGGTGGCTCACGCCTGTAATCCCAGCACTTTGGGAGGCCGAGGCAGGTGGATCACGAGGTCAAGGGATTGAGACCATCCTGGTTAACATGGTGAAACCCCATCTCTACTAAAAATACAAAAAATTAGCTGGGCACGGTAGCACGTGCCTGTAATCCCAGCTACTCAGGAGGCTGAGGCAGGAGAATTGCCTGAACCCAGGAGGTGGAGGTTGCAGTGAGCCGAAATCGCGCCATTGCACTCCAGCCTGGGTAACTAGAGCGAAACTCCGTCTCAAAAAAAAAACAATGACTACAACAAAAAACCCAGAACCCACTGAAGGGGAATAGCATGATCAGCAACAGATAAAAAAAGACTGGGAGTATAAATACAGAAATCAAGTAAAATTTCATCAGAGTTAAGACAGATATCTTAACAGAAGTCATATGGAGGTTTTCCAGGTTAGGAGAACTTACAGTTGAGCTATATTATTTCCAGTATTCATCTGGCACAGACTTGGCAATATATTTTACAGCACAGAAAATGAAGGTGTCTATGCCCAGTAAGAAGGAAATGAATGCTTCTTACCTTTGGACTGCTGGCCTGAGGAAAAAAGAGTAAAGTATAATTTGATAGTATTGTCTGGGAATTTTTATAGTTTTAAAAACAAATATAAGTCCATCACTTAAAAATATGGCACATAATTTAATCATATAAGACACCATATTTTAAACAAAAGGGGGACTTTTAAATCAATAAAATCTGATTGTTAAACTTATTTTGATTGTGATTTTTTAGAAAAACCAATGAAATTTAATAGAAGTCCATTTTAACATTAAAGAGTAAATTAATTTGCTAAAATTTATTGAAGTAACTGGACTACATTATAAGATATGCTTCTATCATACTAACTGTATCTTGGTGCTTTGGTGAGGAGGGAGAAGACTCATTTTCAGGTAAGCAGGGTTTTGAGGCAGTTGGAGATTCCTACAAGAAATAAGTAATGAAAAAAGTTACTCTATTTTATATAACTATATTTCTGCCTCTACTCACAGTGGGAGAGCTTAGTAAGAGAGAATAACAAATTTTTTCCTTGTTATTTTCCATCTATATTCAGCTCCAAAGCTAATAGGGTACTGATTTTAAAACTATAAATGTTATAAAAGGTTTATAAAATATGATGCTTTTATAGCAATTATAGTTACATTTAAGTAATGCAAATGGAATTACTCAAAAGAAATGATGCATGCTGCCTTAGAATCACAATGTTACATCAGTTTGAATTAAGCATATTTAAAATAAGTAAAACCTAAACACTTCTGGATAAATATGTTATAATCATGATACTAACTTGCTCTTGGTATGGTAAGTATAAATACACAGGATTAGGCAAGGTCACAGAAATAATTTGGCAAATGCCAGAAAGAGACTTTAATTTTAGTCAAAAGCTATATAAGAAATTGCTATTAGCATATAAGGTAATTCATAGAAAACTTGCTAAAATTTGGAAATAAGATATTTTAAATTCAAGAAAGAAACCTAAGATTTAAAGATTAGTAACTCCCCAGGAAAAAAAGTTTTAATGTCTAAGCTTGCAAGAGTATCATAGGAGCAAACCAATAGCTTGTTTTTTAAGCAGTCTGCTTTGTCCATATTAAAACACAGAATATGATTTCTATTACAAATGATAGGACTACTCTGACAGGACTATTCATGGAAGGTAAGACTGAAGAACAGTTATTTTTGGTAGCAACAGCCTAACTTCCACTTAAATTTTCTCCATTTCCCGAGATGTTTTGAATAATTTCAGAAAAAGAGAATTTTTAAAACTACACACCATTACCTAATATCAATTTTTTCTATCAAACCAAAAAGTTCCTTTGACCATTTGTCTCCAGGTATGTATCACCCTAGTTTCCTATGTTTATGAAACAGGAGAAGGTACTGTCAACCAACCTAGGAATCTGTTGTAACACTTGCAAAAACCATTAACTCAACATTTATTCATTTGGAAAAATGTCTTCAGGTTTAGATGCTACACAGTTTGTAAATACAGAAACTAGGTAGCAGTGAAAGCTTACATGGAAACCTTTGAAAGGACAAGCTTATAAATCAATCAAACAAGGCACTATTAATGGGGAAAATATTAAAATCACATCAAATAAAAAAACTTCAAAAAATTTAACTTAAGGTCCAAATCTTACTTAAGTATTTTTTCTGATAACGTCAGATCAATTTTTGATTCCTAGGACTGCCTGATAGTAAAATACTATGAGAAAGAGGTAAGAGCTGATGATCCATAAACTAGAAAATAAGTAACAGAATAAAATGACTGATAATTATATTTTTCATAGCACATTCAGTCCCACAGAAATAAAAACCACAAATAAATAATGTATATACAACAATCGTAGCTATTATAAACAAAAAATAATTTTACATGTATACATTTATCTATTATTTAGATATATGCATGTAAATATACATCTTAATATCTATGAATAGTGATTTTAGTAAAAACAGAAAAAAAAAGTGGAAACAAACAGATGCATTCACACATATACACACAGACATACATACACCTACCCCTCCAAGGTTATCTGCCAACTGAATTAGGACCTATGTCATTGTAATAACATTTGCCATACAATAATAGATGGTCCTTGATTTAATGACTGCTCACCTTTAAGGTGGTAGGAAAGTGAATAAGCATTCACTAGAAAACATACTTTAAATTTTGATCTTTTCCTGGGCTAACAATATTCAATATGACACTCTCTCACAATGCTGCACAGAGGCATCTAGCCGCAGCTTCTAGTCAGCTACCTGATTACCAGGGTAAACAGACTGCAAAGGTAAACAACTGATATTCTACAGTGTACCATGTTACTGAATGATTTTGACAAACTGTAGGTTAATGTAAATGCTCAGAGCACATTTAAGGTAGGCTAGGCTAAGCCATGATGTACAGTGAGTTAGGTGTATTACATGCATTTTCACCTTGTGATATTTTCAACTTATGTGGGTTTACTGGGATGTAACCTCATCACAAGCTGCAGAGCATCTGTATTACATTGCTGTGATTACATTTTAAGTTATACGTATTTCATCCCTTATCACATATTAGCTAGTTTGTTCTAGTAGTCAGTGCCTTTTTCAAAACCTCAAAAACTGCCGTATGTTAAGAAACTTATGAATCCATTTGCAAAGGGTAAGGTTGTGGGGGGGGAAGGGGGCAGGTAAAAAAAGACATTTCTACCAAAAATAAGTAAATCTCTAATCTCAGAAAAATCATATTTTTGCAACTCTGAGACAATGAGATGAAAGAGGAAATGTAATAAGAACTGCATGCAAGTTATTTAAAGCAATTGATTGAAAATTAATTTTAAAAAATGAATCAAGAGATTAAAAAGGAGTAAGAGTGCTTGATGTTGAAAAAAAAGAGAAAAGAGTAAGAAATTGTAAGCATAAATCATCAAAATAATCATCCTATTTGTTTCAGTATGAAGTGGTGGTGGAGTTCAATAACGTTCAATAACGGTTTGCCTTAGAACAGTATATATGGTATTTGGTAGTTTCCTATTTATCCTGAACTGTAATCTGGTTCTTTGTTGAATGAATTTTTCCTATTAGAAATCTCTAAGTATCTTACTTACCTAGATTAATCTCAATACTAATATATTTTCAAGCATATCTTCAATAGCACAGACTCCAGAATGCCATTCATTTAATGTAGTCTCTACATTCAAGACAAGATCCTTAGAAAATACAAACTGGAAACTAGTCTGCTACTTTCATTGTTTTCTATTAGTTCATCTAATACACATGTATGAAGGCTGTTTCTACAGCTCTACTCCACCTTTAAATTCAACAAAGACCAATTTTATAGTCACTTGTAGCACCAAAACATTATACTTGTTTTGACCGATCAATTGAGATTACTTATAAAGCAAATATTAACTATCATAATTTAGGACTGAAAGTATCTGAACGTAATTGGTTCACTGCTTTCCCGAACACACACAAAAATTACAGGAAAGCTGTTAATCATGCTACAAGAAGCCTGATGGTTTAAAAAACCTTCACATTTGAACATCAGTATGCCTAAATTTCTGCAAATTCATACTAAGTTCCCAACGTATCCCCCAAATGAAGCCACACTATGAATAAGTAACTTCTAAAGAAGTATTTAAAATATCCATTCTAATGTTTGCATTAAAATTAATCCCTATAAACAGAGAACATGACTTATCAGATTGATAATAGAACTGCCTTCTGCAGAGAGCACTTAGAGAAACAAAGGGAACAGAATTCCAATATTCCCTGGGATGAGGAAAATTAATTAAATGTCTTCCCTAAGAAATCTCCTAGAGACTGAAGACAAAGGATACAGAAATGTGACTTTAAAATAAGGTAAGCAAGAAAAATCTGTCATCTACTAGGATCAAATGTATCAAGGTATACACATCAGTAAGCCGCAGATAATTCAGTCCATTGTGCAAAAACCAAAACCTACTTCATGACAAACTGATGCTAAATACATAAATATGTAGTCACTAAGGTATGCAATTTGGTTAAAGAAAAAAATAATGTAGAAACATTTCAATATACATGCACATCAAGAGCTTAGTTTTAAAAAAATCAAATGCTTTAGAAAATTATATTTATTAAATACATAAAGTATTAGTACAAATGGTTATAATTCACTGTACAATATAATGCAAAGAACTTGCCAAAAATCTCAACAGTCCTACCTTGTCATTAGTGTCCAATACAATGGTGCTGTGTCTCCACTTTGTTAATACTATTGGCTCTTGCAGTCGCCTGTCCAGGCTCCTACTTTTAATTATTTCTCTTTGCTGCTGGGATGAAGCATTATACTAAAACAAAACAAAGCAAAAAACATGAAATGTACTTCATAAACAATAGGAACCAAAGTGGAATCTAAACATCCTGGCTCCAAATGACAATAACTGTTAGGCAAAGTTCATCATATAAACATCTCCATAAATTTTCTAGCCTCAGTTTTCTCATCTTTAACCAGAACTGTGGCACAATTCAGAAGATCAGACTCTGGTGTTACAGAGACCAAATTAGTGTTATCTTTGGCAAAATATCTAATCTCCCTCAGTCTAAGTTTTGTCAACTGTAAAGTAGGTATAATAGAAATATCATCTAATTCACAGAGTTGCTGTAAAGATCAAAGTATTAAAGAACAAAGTATTAAAAGAGTAGTACATTATCAATAAATATTAACTATCATAATTTATAAAAATTGGATAAATTAATTTTTCTACTTCTACTTCTTCTACTAAAATGAAAAAATAAGCATTATTTTAAAAACCTAAACCAAACATTAAATCCAAAATGAACTAGCAAGTTTTTTTTACATATTCTGGATTCTAAATCTTTCTAAGCTATGTGAGTTGAATATATCTTTTCCTAGTCTGTAGCCCATCTTCTCCCCTTTGTTTATGACATCTCCTACATAGAGGTGTTTTGTTTAATTTTAATGTAGTCACATCTGTCAATCTTTCCTTTTATGGTAGGCTTCTGAGTTTTCTTCATGAAATCTTTCCTATTCTTTGGTATATTCTTCCACAGTCTTTATAAAGTTTTACATGTTATATATATTTCTTTAATCTAATCATTGAGCATGAAGTGAGGTCAAGATCTACTTTTATTTTCATTTTTATCATGTGAATAACCAATAATCTTAGTAATATTCTTACTTAGTCCATGCTTACCCCATTGATATGTTTTCTTTTCAGTTGTTGTTGCAACATCTCAGGTGACACAAACCAGTGTGTGTTTTTGTTTGTGGGCTCAAAAGATGTTCCTGTACCAGCCACCTAAACAGCTGGGACTACAAGCACATGCCAGCACACTTGGCTTTTTTTTTTTTTTTAAGAGCCAAATTTTCCCTAACTCCATTGATTTGTAATGCCACATCTGATCTTTATACATGTGCCCTTATTATCCCAACTTAATTACCACAGCTGGAACTCTCTCTCTCCTGTCCCCCACCCACCAACTACTCCCTATACAGGAATATTTTGACTCTTCATGGATATTTGTTTGCAAATATAAATTGCAGGTTCCATTCCCTATAAAGTGAGGGAAAGGGAACTAAACAGAAATGCATTGGACTTGTAGATTAATTTGGACATTGTTATAAAATTCAGCCTTCCAATCCAAGATCATGATGGTATACTGCAACATTTATTTGGGTCTTCCTTTATTCTGCTCTGAAATTTTCTTTATTAAAATCTTACAGATCTTTAATAAACATGTTCTTAGTTACAATTCTTGTTGCTACTGCTGCTAATGTAAATAGTATCTTTGCTGCTATCACATTTTCAAACTTACTTTTTACTAGACAAATGGGTAGTTTTCATGTTAATTTTATATCCAGTAACTTTGCTGAACTCTCATCAGTGTTAAGTTTGCAGGTTCTCTTGGATTTTCTAATAATCAAAAAAACCCAATTGCATCTCTTCCTTTTTAATTCCGTTATTTATTTCCTTTTTTAAATTGTTGAATAGAAGCAGTGATAGAAACGTTCCAGTTTAGTCCCTAACTCTAATGGGAAAGCTTCTGTAATCTCACCATGAAGTATGAGATTTACTGCAGATTATTTAATAGATAACCTTTAGCATAATGTGTCGTTATAAGAAAGTGATTTGCATCTGGCTGCGGTGGCTCATGCCTGTAATCCCAGCACTTTTGGAGGCTGAGGTGTGCGGATCACCTGAGGTCAGGAGTTTGAGACAAGCCTGGCCAATGTGGTAAAAGCCCGTCTCTACTAAAAATACAAAAATTAGCCAGGTTTGGTGGTGCATGCCTCTAAGCCCAGCTACTCGAGAGACTGAGGCACGAGAACAGTTGAACTTCAAGCTCTGCTTGAGGCGGAAGCTGCAACAAGCTGAGATTTCACCACTGTACTCCAGCTAGGGCAACACAGTAATGGTCTGTCTCTAAATAAATAACTGTGATTTCCTTATAGAAGCATATTCTTGGATCATAGTGGTTTTATATCCATTTTGCAAATCTTTTAACAGATGTGTTTAGAACATTTACATTTAATGTAATTATTTATAATGTTAGGATTTAAGTCTAGCATTTTATCATTAATTTTGTTTCTCCTTTCCCACCTTCCTGTGGGCTACTTGAGCAATTTTTACTATTGTATTTTAAAATATCTACAGTTTCTTAAGCCTCTCATCATAGTTTTTTGATGCGTGCTCTAGGGATTATAATATACATAACTTATCAGTCTACTAGTATCAACATCTAACTACTTCAAGTGGAATACAGAAACCTTACCAAAAATTATATCCCTTTACTCTCTCCCTCTTTATGAAAGAGTTATCTTAAATATCATTACTGCATACCAGGACTACTTCAGAAATGTTATAACTTTTGTTTCAAATGTCAAACACAATTTTAAACACCCAGGACAAAAGTCTTCTCAGATATTCAACCGTTCTGCTGTTCTTTATTCATTCCTGATATTCCAAGTTTTCTTATCCCTTCCCTTCTGTTTGAAAGACTTCCTACAGAAATTCTTTGAGAGCAAGACTGCTGGGGATAAATTTCTTAGTTTAGTTTCATTCTGAAAATGTCCTTATGTTACTTTAATTCCTGAAGGGTATTTTTGCTGCAGAAGGGTTCACAGTTCTCTTCTTCCAGCATTTGAAAAATGTTATGCCACTTCTTTCTGGCTTCCCTGGCTTCTGATAAGGCACTCACTTCAGTCAAATTATTATCATCCTAAAGGTAATGTGTTGTTTCACTGAGAGGCTTTTAAGACTTTGTCAGGAGGAATGGGGTTCTTAAGATTTCAGAAATTTTGATTATCATGAGCCTGGATTTTGGGTTTATCTTATTTGGTGTTTATTTAGCTTCGTGAATCTACTGGTTTGTCTTTTGCCAAACTGGGGCGTTTTCAAATACTACTTCTTCAAAGTATTTTTCCGCCTCACACTCTTTCCTTTCTCCTTCTGGAACTCCAATGAAAGGAAGGTTAGAACTTTTGTATTTTCCCACAGGTCTCTGAGGCACTGTTCTTTTTATTTTTTTCCCAAAATCTATTCTCTCCGTTGTTCAAACTAAGTAATTCCTACTAACTTATCTTCAAGATCATGGATCTTCTTCTTTTTTACCACCATTCTGTTATTGAGCCACCTAGTATTTGATTTTTGGCTCTAAGATTTCCCGTTGTTTCTTCTGTGTATCTTCCATTTCTTTGCTGAGACTTCCAACCTCTTCATTTATCTCAAGTGCGTTTACAATTGCTTGCTGTAGCACTTTCATGAAAGCTGACTTAAAATCCTATGGGATAACTCATTCATCCCTGTCATCTTGGTGAGTCACCAACCTACTGATTGTCTTTTCTCATTCAAGTTCAGATTTTCCTGGTTCTTGGTATGACAAGTAATTCTAGGTTATATTTGGATGTTTTGAGTACTACAAGACTTTGGTTTCTATTTAGGCATATTTTAGCAGGCTGTGAACCCTGTTTATGTCCAGAATGCACAACTCAGCCTGTAGTTCAAAATTATTCCTGCTACTTTGTACAAGTAGAATAAAGATTTTAAAATAAATCTGCTGAAACCATCTCCAAGTATTACTTCATCTACTATTTTTTAATAGAAATTTGGTGTTAAGGTTTATTACCTTTGGCAATTCCCATTCTGATCGAGATCCATCTGCACTGTAGTAATATTGTCTACCTTGATCATCGACATGCTTGAGCCACTATAAAAACAGAACAGGTGTTTTTAAATTAAATTTAGATTAAAGTGAGTTTAAGCTACTACTATCAGAGATACTAGATTAAATGCTTATGAATTTTATTCTACTTGCTCAAGAACATTGCAAAAATTTCTAACTAACCAATTATACTAACAGACTGGCAGCTTAAGTTTGGTAAGAATAATTATACTCATTATTAAACAAGACTTTATTTGCTCTCTCTTTCCTCCAATGTCTGGCTAGTTGTTCAAGCACCACTTAACAACGAACAACATATAACATAAAGATACACAGATGTACATATGCACTGGAACACAGGTACACTCCCATTCTGAACACAGGTTTGAGAAACTGACAAAAGGGAATTGCTGAGTTTATCTACGTTGTTTTTTTTCCAAGGAAAACTTCTAATAAAGATTCCTCAGAGCAAAAAAAAAAAAGGGAATTGCTTTTCAATTAAGTGTACAACTAAACAATTTAAAGCCTAATTTCATGCAAACCTTTAGGAATTACTTTCTGTAGTCAAACATAACAAAATTTAAATAACTGCAACAACAGAACATCGTGCGATATAAGAAAGAAAATACGAGGGGGAAAAAGGCTACGTATTGCTACTACAAACATATGATACTGAGTATGAAATAAATGAAAAAACTGCTTCTGTATGTTCTAATGCCAAATAATTGAGGCAGGAAAGAGGGATAAAAGCCTAGCCCCATTTATTCCCAAGCATATCTTCTCAGAACATGCCCAATCAACCAGCTGTTTTCTCAAATGATACCAGAAGCAATACACATACAAAATGTCAATATTCATTTCCAAACTAATTAATCATAAAATACTAGATTCATGGTTTTTGTTTTACATAAATTTGATTGTAACAGAAAAAGGAGAATAGGTAGTGAGGCAATGTATAATAACAGCACAGAGAGAGAACTATTTCCAAAAAACTATTCCCTCAGAAAAATACAAAGAAATATGCCTACTGAAGAAATCTAAACAAATAACATTTAACAGGCGTACACTTAAAAGGTCTTCCTTGCGTATCAAGACCACAAAAATCACTATCATCCTTAGCAATTTAAAACCATGAATCAGCAGTTATTCTGCATTCTCATATTGTCAATTGGCATGATTATGAAGTGATGATAAAGAACATTTTCATAATTTTTCTTAAATACTACTAAAACTATTTTATGAGAGAATTTTGCCAAAAAACACTAGATGAGAAAAAAAAGAATGTACCTTTTCATTAGTATAGTCACTGGTATATAAGGTATGCCCACGTTCATCCAACTCTTCTGACCAACCCTTTGGAGGAGAACCACACTGACTATCTGACTGGCTGTAACAAGTGCTGTAGTAGTTTTCTTCTGATGAAAGAAGCTACAAATAGTCAGAAACATAAGATTTTTCTTCTTTGAATATAAATATGGAGCAGTTGAAAGTCTAATAAATCAATTTTACTTGACTGTAAATACTAAGATATCTAAAATATATTTGATATTTGATTCTGAAAATAAATTGATGTCTTTAAATGGTACACTGTAAGTGGTGAGGTAAAATTAATAGCAGTTATTTTATCACATTAGTGCAATCCTAGAAAAATTCACCATAATAAAACTGAAAACAATGTTTTCAGACTAAGGAGAGACTGAATGTTCTTAAATGCTGCTTTTGAACTAGAATCAAGTTTTAAAATGAGAGGAGTGGGTATATGTACACATATTTATGTGTAAACAAAGGAGGAGATAAAGGAACTTCATTAGACTGAGCTCCCTCTCATGTACCACAAGCACATAGCCACATGGCAAGGCAAACAACACTGCTCAATAAATACATCTTGAACTATTTTTCTATAATTTGTGTTATATTTTATTGGTAAAATTTTCTAACTCACTCAATCAAATGCTTATTAAAGACTGCTGGAAACCAAACTTCGAAACAAGAAAAAATAATATTGAGAAAATTCAAATATAACACAGAGAGACAAATTAAAAATTCTGTATAAAAATAATATAGGAGCCAGGCACAGTGGCTCACGTCTGTAATCCTAACACTTTGGGAGCTCAAGACCAGAGATCATTTGAGTGCAGAAGCTCAAAACCTGCCTGGGCGACATAGTGAGACCTCATCTCCAGTTTTTATTAAAAAGAAGGAGAAGAAGAAAAGAAAATAATATAGGTACACATGATAAACTGCAGACACATGAGAGAAGTAAATTAGAAGAAAGGGAAAATTTAGCAACTTTTAATGCCTACTGACAAGAGGCACTATAATATGACTGAATGGCAATTTGCTTTCTACATTTAAGATTCATTTAAGAATTATTATTATTAATAAGAATTATTTATTATATGCAACAAATAATTCTATTACCTCTAGGTAGAATAGTTTTGGCAAGTAAAACTTACTCATTCAGACTATATTTTCTATCATCATAATTTGGTCTTAAACACTAAGAGGGGTAGATTCTCAACATTGTAGTTAAAGACATAAAGAGCCTAATATTAATATGTTCACAAAAACATAGACAACTTTACAGAAGCACTGCATAAAGTGAATTATATATGTTTTACAACAAAAACATTTTTAAGCATTGAAAACCTAATTCAAAAATCAGGAGTTTCTCTTTATTTAACTGAGGCAACTTAAAATGCAAGCTCATAGATGAGAGAAGTGCAATAAAATGTTTGGAAAGAGAAAAAGGGCAATTGAATTAGTAAAATTAATTGAAGAAATAATTAAAATCACAGAATCAATTTTTCGAAGACATAAGTATCTAGCTGACAAAATTCTCATTATATAATTTTCCAGCTTTTGCATAGTAAATTTGATGTTCTCTTCTACCATGAAAAGTAACCTCCAATATCTTGATATGCTTTATATTATACTACAGAAACAGACTTTAAGATCTGGATATTCTCTATTGAAAAATAGTTGTTTAATCACAGTTAAATAAAAGTTAAGATTATTTTTGGTGCACATTCTACAAATGTTAACTATTCTAAACCTAATAACTTCATTCAAAGGTGTAACCAATTCAGTAACTTTGGGATCTATTCTGCAACGAAGATAACCTAGTACAAATATGAGTGGGCTATGACAGATGTTCCATTTATTGTAGAATGGCAGGTAGGTATCCCAATTGATCATCTGAACAGCAACTGCTAAAAATGTTACATAAAATGCTTTTTTAAAATAATCCATGAACAAAAGGTTAATTAAATACTCAGAGGTCAAAAGCAAAGTGGAAACAAGAATCAACAGTGTCACAAAGAATAAAAAAGACGTGCTTTCCTCTTGAAGGCATTTGCCAGACCCCAAACTAAAATGTTAGTTTTCAAGACCATGCAGGAGGGTTAAAGAACTGGACTCAAGATTAACAAAAGCAGGAAGTCTGAAAGGATATCCCGCAATACAGAGCTGGGAACTCCAAAGACTTATACCCACAAATTATGGGTGAACCATAAATATATCTTACCCCTTTATTCCACACTAGGAAAATCAAAGAAATTTTTCCCAATAATTAGAGAAAAATAAGGGGACTCTCCAGCCACAAGAGTCTTCATGAAATCCAGATTACTATTAACACTACCTGTGTGGCTTATAAAAACTGAAGCTAAAGATGTACTTTTAAATATTCACAGTTTCCCTAGGCATCCGGCAGAAGAGACTCACCTCTGAAGGAACCCACCTTTAATCCCAACATTAAAGACTTCCTACTTATGAATTTCCAAGAACTATAACTTCACATTAAAACAGATACACTCTCAAAACACCCTGAGTGACAGTCACCAGAAAAACGGTATAATCGGACTTTCTAAAACTTTATGTATGGAAATTAACAAAAATAATTGAGACCATCCAAGTCAACATGGTGAAACCCCGTCTCTACTAAACATACAAAAAATTAGCTGGGCATGGTGGCGCGTGCCTGTAATCCCAGCTACTGAGGAGGCTGAGGCAGGAGAATTGCCTGAGCCCAGGAGGCGGAGGTTGCGGTGAGCCGAGATTGCACCATTGCACTCCAGCCTGGGTAACAAGAGCGAAACTCCACCTCAAAAAAAAAAAAAAAAAAGAAATTAACAAAAATAAAATAGAAAACAAGACTAGAGAGATACAACAAATAAATGCAACAAATAATCTTCACTGGATCCTTCATTGAAGAAAAAAAACTATGAAGGATATTACTTGACAACTGAGAAACAATAAATATTAACCAGGTATTAAATAACATCCTAATATTCTATGTCTTGGGTATGATAAATGTATTGTGGTTTTGCTAGAACAAGTGCTTATACATAAAATATATTATCTGCTTTAAGTCGTTCATTACACACATGTGTGTATGTGTTTGGGCAGGTGAAGGACGAGAGAGAGACAAATAAAGCAAATGTGGCAAAATTTTAACCATTGGTAAATCTAGATGAATAGTACATGGCATATTAATGTTCACTGTACTACTCTTTCAAATTGTTGAAGGTTTAAAACTTTTCAAAGTAGTGATATCAGGAAATTCTCCCAAACAAATAAACTCCCCCAAACAAATTTAAAATATAACTTATTAAAATTCAAGGATTGGCTTAACATCAAATGAAGGTATACACAAAGAGAAAAACACCAAACAGAAGCCGGCTAGATCTTGAAATACTGAAAATGAAGCATAGAGAGACATAGATGAACACCGTGAGATTAAACATTCATCTAATCAAGGCTCTAGAAGAAGAAAGAGAATATGGGGCAAGCCTATATACAGATACAGCTAAGAATTTTCCAGAATTGATCAAAGACAGGACTCCTCAAATTCAGAAATCCCAACAAAGTCCTGGCAGAAACTAAAAACACCTTCACCAGTCATGTTATGGTAAAAATACGGACATATGATCTTTAAAGCAGCCAACAAAAAGAGACAAACTATGCTTAAAGGAAAGACAATCAGATTAACATTTGAATTTTCACCATCAACAATGGAAGCCAGAAAACATGAGAATAAAATCTTTAATGAACAAGGAAAAAATAAAGAAGTAAACAGTCAATTTAGAACTATATAGCTATGTTCTTCAAAAGTAAAAGCAAAATAAATAAATTTCTAGACAAAAACTAAGATTCTATTACTAACATACTCTCATGAAGGAATTTAAAAGCACGTACTAATGGCTCATGCCTGTAATCCCAGCACTTTGAGAGGCCAAGGTGAGAGGACTGCTTGAGCCCAGGAGTTCAAGATCAGCCTGGTCAACATAGTGAAAGCAGGATACAAAAAATTAATATAAAAAGTTAAAAAAAAAATAGCCAGGCACGGTGGCTCATGGGTGTAGTCCCAGCTACCTGGGAGTCTGAGGCAGGAGGATGGCTTGAGCCTGGAGTTTGAGGCTGCAAGGAGCTAGGACCACAGCACTGTACTCCAGCCTGAGTAACAGAGCAAATCTCTGTCTCCCGCCAAAAAAAGGCTCATATTTATGATAGAAGAAGAAAAAGTGAGAAAACAAAGTGGTAAAAATCAGAATTAATTCTAAGAGTCATGTACAACAACAAGGGAACTAAAAATAGAGATATAACATATGATAGCAACAGCACAAAAGCACACGCATATCCTATATTGCTTTAAGGAACAAGAAGATAGTGATTAACTTTAGACTATGAATAAACTACGCATGTTAAAGCTACGTATTGCAGTCCTAGCTACTGGAGAAGCTGAGGCAAAAGGGCTGCTTGAGTCCAAGAGTTTCAGTTTGAGTCTATCGTGGGCAACATAACAAGATCCTGTCTCAGTGGAATCTCAGGCCTCTACCCACTAGATGTCAGTTGCATGTTCCCCACTGTGACAACAACAAAAAAATCTTCAGACTTTACCAAATGTCCCTGGAAGGCAAAATCAGGCCCTACTTACAAATGATTCTTCTAGGGTAATAAGTACTACAATAATAAGCTTCTTTCTATGTTAAGACAGAAGAGCCAACAGTTGTTCCCTCTCAAATCCCACTAAAATCACAACAGCAAAATATTCTTAAAATGACGTAAACCCAAAACAACAGTGAGAACAGTCAAGCAGATGAACAAAAATGAAGGAGAGTGGGGGAAAACAAAACCTGACAAGCTTACAGAACAGAATCTGCTAATGGCTCAGGAACTGACGATATTAGGTATTTCTAAAACTGGGGAGTGAAAGCAGTGGTACTAAAATAAGGACTAATATTGCCAGAATCTCCTTCCACATACCTAGCTGCTTTGTGTGTAGCCCGTCCCTACCCTAGCAGAAGTATAAGTACGGAGAGTTATTCCCTCTGAGGAGGAAAAAATATTAAGATTCTGAGTTGGGGGAAAATAGACACAACAGGGACATGGATACCAAGAGAAAGAAGGAGACTGAGAGACCAGGTGCAAAATGAATGCCAACACCAAGACCCAGAAAGCCCTTACCTTGTAGGCAGGAGATCTAAAGACATCTGTGGAGATTCTTATTAGTCCAAAAAGAAAGACCTAATGGTTCTAACACAGGAGACTCCCCCACAAAGGGCTGACCCAGATCTCCATTAAAGTTCAAAATGCCTCACAATTAGAGAAAATTATTTCCATCCTAGAATTCTATACCCAGGAATACTATTAAATAAATATGAGAGCAAAAGACAGATATTTTCATACACGCATAGTCTCCATTTTACCTGCTATATATACAACCTTTCTCAATAAGTCACTGGAAGATGTGCTCCAATCACTTTGGAAATATTTATCTTCATACAATTTGTACAGAGACTAGTAATGTAAACTGAGACCCTGTAAAAAAGTCACTGTCAACTATTTACTAAAATAGAAAGCTAAGAAACATGTTAAAAGTTCCTATGTATAAATTATTTTAATCTATAGTTTTTCCTAACTCTCCAACATTGTAAGATTTTACTTTATTACTGATACACTGGGTAGTTTATTTTCAAATCTTTCTAATGTATAGTTCAAATAAAATCTTCCATTTTTTTTTTTGAGATGGAGTCTCACTGTGTTGCCCAGGCTGGAGTGCAGCTCACTGCAGTCTCCACCTTCTGGGTTCAAGCGATTATCCTGCCTTAGCCTCCCAAGTAACTGGGATTACAGGCGCCCACCACCATGCCCAACTAATTTTTTTTTGTATTTTTAGTAGAGCCGGGGTTTGACCATGTTCGTCAGGCTGGTTTTGAACTCCTGACCTCACGTGACCTGCCCACTTCAGCCTCCCAAAGTGCTAGGATCGCAGGTGTGAGCCACCATGCCCAGCCAAATTTTCCTTTCTTATTGTAGTTAAACATGAACAATTTTTCTGCTTGTACTGCCGTGTAAGTACTGCACGCTAATCAATTGGGCCACTGAAGCTCCATCAACGATTTTTCTATTTTTGCTCTCACTTGAACACTAAAAACACAAGTTACTACCAAATTAAAGCTATAAATAAACCAACTGAGAAATGGGACAAGAAGAGAGTTAACTACAAAAAGCTTTTGGAGTCTGCTAAGTACAAGATGTGTTTCCTGATTTTTCCAGCTCCTATCTACCTGAAGCCTACTTTTATTTGTACGAGCTAGCTGCTTTCTATAAGAGCAGGATGTCCTATGCAGGTGGAGGAGCTCAATCTACTAAATGACAGGATTTCACTCTGTTCCATCAATCCTACAAGTTACTCCTGTACATCTAAATAGCCCTAAAGCCTCTTGCCAGACTACTGAGATAAGTGTTTCTGAAAATACAGCTGGCCAATTCACTGCACCATCCTGCAAGAGGCATGGAGGAAGGCAAAACCAGAAGGAGAAAAAGAGTATAGAAACTTATTAGAGAAAATGATTTTTAAAGTAAATTGTTAGACTTAACAGAATAATTCAACTGTAGCAAAGAATTATAATTATTTCCCTTATAATAAGTAAAAAAAATGGTCTTGTACCACAGATTGACAAAGAAAAAAACTGGGAAGTAGTCTGGTAGCCATACTAAGCCAATAGAGAAAAATATTATTTCCATTTATTTAGCTGTGTCACATCACATGTTTTCTATTTTTTTCTAAAAAATGTCACTGGACAGCCAGGTGCAATGGCTTATGCCAGTAATCCCAGCACCTTGAGAGACTGAGATAAGAGGACTGGTTGAAGTCACGAGTATCAGACCAGCCTAGAAAACATGGCAAGATCCAATCTCTACAAAAAAAAGTTTAAAAAAATTAGCCAGTGGCATGTGTCTGTGGTCCCAGCTACTAGGGAGGCTGAGGTGGGAGGATCACTTGAGGCCAGGAATTTGAGGCTACAATGATATATCATTGCACCACGGCTCTCCAGCCTGGGCAACAGAATGAGATTCCATCTCTAAAAAAATTGAATTAAATTAAATTTATAATATCACTGGCTTGTGCAGTAACAACTGAAATATTATCTTCTAAAACGTAAGGGAGTGCACTGGCACTAGACAACTTAACTCCAGTTCTGGAACAAGTTCACATACTATCAGATCAGCAGATATCCATTAGTCAGAGATTAGGAAGTAGTTAGCAATAGTATTAGTAAAGCTTGGAAATAATTTTTAACGATCTTAGAGATTCAAGTGTTCTAACATGCTGACAATAAAAAAAAACTATTTATTTCTTTGGTTTCTGAATAACGAAAAGAGAAAATCTGGTAACTTGTGGTTGCTCCTTAATTACTCATACCTCTTGATCCCCTGGACTTTGGAAATCTCCTTTGCTAATGCTTGCATCCCGCGTCCAACGAGGTGGTTTCCAAGTTCTTTCCTGTGTTCCTCTGTTATAATAATAGCAACGCCCTGAGCTGTCTTTATGAGTTTCCCATTCTCCATTAATCTGAATTGCTGGGCTCCCAGGAAGTGGGGGAAGAGCAGACTGGGATATTTTCAGTTCTTGAAGATTAGCATAGACAGGAGAATCTGGCCTTCCTTGATTTGGAGGTGTGGTTGCCTGTGAAATAAACATTTTTAAATTTCATGTTTAAACTGATATAACATTTAGATCAAAATTAAATGAAACAGAAGATTTATAAATACTAATTCATTTAAAAACATATATACAGGTACGTATATTCTAAGGAAATAATAATTTAACAGTTTTAGTATTCATAGTTTGATTGAAAATTAAAAGCTTCAAACTGATTCCAAAGTATGCATAATACTTTCCTTTACCTGAATGAATATGTGATGAACAGCCAAGAGTCATGAGTTCTAATTTAAGATCTAGCACTAACAAGTTGGGTGATATTGGGTAAGATCACTTTACCTCTGAAACTGAAATTTTTTATCTCAAGAAATGAAGGAATTGGACTAAACCACCAGGTTTTCTTTGACTCTCAAGTTCTATGATTTTAGGCAATCTTTTTTTTTTTTTGAGACGGAGTTTCGCTCTTGTTACCCAGGCTGGAGTGCAATGGCGCGATCTTGGTTCACCGCAACCTCCGCCTCCTGGGTTCAAGCAATTCTCCTGCCTCAGCCTCCTGAGTAGCTGGGATTACAGGCGCGCGCCACCATGCCCAGCTAATTTTTTGTATCTTTAGTAGAGACGGGGTTTCATCATGTTGACCAGGACGGTCTCGATATCTTGACCTTGTGATCCACCCGCCTCGGCCTCCCAAAGTGCTGGGATTATAGGCTTGAGCCACCGCACCCGGCCGGCAATCTTTTAAAATGTAAAAAGTTTTACATATGAATAGCGCAGTTTTTATTATGAGAATTATCAAAAAAAAGAGTTCATATTCTAAGCTCTAACATTAAATCAGGAATATAAGTGAAACATAAAAGAGGAATAATACTTAAGCTAAGAATTTACTACATTCTATTCCTTCTCAGAGGCTATAAACAAATCATTTAATCTCTCCCTAGCTTCCTTACTTCTGAATTTCCTAACAGTAGAAAAATAAGAATTAGTAGTAACTCTGATTTACATGTGTAATGTTAAGCTAAGCTTTATTTATTTATTTTTAAATATCTCACTAGATGTCAGTCGAGAGCAGGATATGTCACACCCCTCATATAAGGACACTGTAAATCATATTTAGGTTACACACAGAACTTCAGTTGCTGAAGAAAAAAAAGCACGTGCCTGAGAACACCTGCTTATACTATGTATTTGTATTTGCGTGTATATTTTCCTTTTACAACAGAGTTTCTCAACCTTAGCACCACTGACATTTTGAGACACTAAATTCTTTGTTGTGAGGACCACCTTCTGCACTGTGGGATGTTTATCAGCTTCCCTGACCTCCACCCACCAGAAGACAGTGGCGCATGCACACACGCCACACTCCTCACACACATTCTCTCACACACACACACACACACACACACACACCCTCTCTGATGTGACAACTGAAAAGCCTCCAGACATTGATGAATGTCCCTTGGGGGCAAAACTGGCCCTAGTTGAGGAACCACTGCTTTTCCCCATAAATCCTAGAATTATATTCAGATGTTCAACTATTTCTGTAATGTAGCTTGAGTTTTATGAATACTTTAAAATACTGAATTTGAAAAGAAGCATGTGAATGAAAACCCTGAATCAGTTTTATTGAAATTAAAGTACTTTAACATCTAAAAATATTTGTCTCTAAATAATGTTTGAGTGTAAATCACAGAATAAGCTCCAACTGCGAAAACAGTAAAAAATAACCCAAAACACAATTACATGTTTGTAAAATGGTCACTTTTGGTCTTCTTACACATGGTAGTTATACAAGTACTGTATTCAGTGATGCACATTTGACTATTTTCCTTAAAATGTTAGCTTCAAATTTATCATTAAACAGCATCTTTTTATGAAGAAAATCTATCCATGGTGAGACAGGTATCATTTCTCCTTGAGATTAATTTCATATCCTAATAAATTTGTTTTCTCTGATAAAAACAAATTCTGTTAATATAAAATTCTATACGGTAAATCATTTCTCAGAATCTAGAATATCTAGAAAATATTTATTTGACCAATATTAAAGATGCTCTTACTTTGCTCCTGATACTTGAGTAGAACTTGGAGAAATAAAGATACCAAGAAACAGCCATTTTCTAAATGATGTTAATGAAAAGAACTCTACAAAATCTTCAAGAAACAATGCCTGTTGCTAAAACAGTTTACTTTTTTTTTTTAACTAAAAGACAGCTTATTTGTCAAATTATTATTATTTAGATAGGGTATCACTGCGTCGCCCAGGCTGGTGTCCAATGATGTGATAGTAGCTCACCGTAGCCTCAAACTCCCAGGCTCAAGCGAGCCTCCCACCTCAACCTCTGTAGTAGCTGCGACCACAGGCGCACACCACCACACTTGGCTAATTTTAAAAATTATCTTTTGTAGAGATGGAATGTTGCCATCTTACCATGTTGCCCAGGCTTGTCTCAAACTCCTGGACTCAAGAAATCCTCCCGCCTTGGCCTCCCAAAGTGCTGGAATCACAGGTATGAGCCACCACACACATCCCAGTTTACAGATATTTATTAACAATCCCAATCGTCCAACACCACCATCATTTGGCAAGTCCCAATCATCTGTTTTAAAGAAGATGAGCCAGGTGTGCTGGCTCACGCCTGCAATCCCAGCACCCTGGGAGGCCAAGGTGGGCGGATTAGGAGGTCAGGAGTTCAAGACAAGCCTGGCCAAGACAGTGAAACCCAGTCTTTACTAAAAATTAAAAAATTAGCCAGGTGTGGTGGTGGGTGCCTGCGATCCCAGCCACTCCAGAGGCCAAGGCAGAGAAATGCCTAAACCCTGGAGGCGGAGGTTGCAGAGAGCTGAGATTATATCACTGCACTCCAGCCTGAGCAACAGAGGGAGACTCTGTATCTATTATTATTATTATTATACTTTAAGTTCTGGGATACAAGTGCAGAACGTGTATACCTATGTAGGAAGCATTAGGTATTTCTCCTAATGCTATCCCGCTCCTAGCTCCCGTAGCCTCCCACCCCCTGACAGGCCCCGGGGTGTGTGATGTTCCCCTCCCTGTGCCCATGTGTTCTCTCTCACTGCTCAACACCCACTTATGTGTGACAACATGCAGTGTTTGGTTTTCTGTTCTTCTGTCAGTTTGCTGAAAATGATGGTGTGCAGCTTCATCCATGTCCTTGCAAAGGACATAAACTCATCCTTTTTTATGGCTTTACAGTATTCCATGGTGTGTGTATGCTACATTTTCTTTAACCAGTCTATCATTGACGGTCATTTAGGTTGGTTCCAAGTCTTTGCTATTGTGAACAGTGCCACAATAAACATACATGTGCATGTGTCTTTATAATAAAATAATTTATAATCCTTTGAGTAAGTACCCAGTAATAGGATTGCTGGGTGAAATGCTATTTCTATTTCTAGATCCTTGAGGAACCACCACACTGTCTTCCACAATGGTTGAACTAATTTATACTCTCACCAAAGTGTTAAAGCATTCCTATTTCTCCACATCTCTCCGGCATCTTTTGTCTCCTGATTTTTTTAATGACTGCCATTCTAAGTGGCATGAGACAGTATCGCAATGTGGTTTTGATTTGCATTTCTCTAATGACCAGTGATGATGAGCCTTTTTTCATATGCTTGTTGGCTAGCATAAATGTCTTCCTTTGCCCACTTTTTGATGGGGTTGTTTTTTTCTTGTAAATTCCTTTAAGTTCTTTGTAGATTCTGGATATCAGCCCTTTGTCAGATGGGTAGATTGCAAAAATTTTTTCCCATATTGTTGGTTGCTGGTGTACTCTAATGATAGTTTCTTTTGCTGTGCAGAAGCTCTTTAGTTTAATTAGATCCCATTTGTCAATTGTGGCTTTTGTTACCATTGCTTTTGGTGTTTTAGTCATAAAGTCCTTGCCCATGCCTATGTCCTGAATGGTAATGACTAGGTTTTCTTCTAGGATTTTTTTAAATATTAGATCTTATGTTTAAATTTTTAATCCATCTGGAGTTAATTTTTGTATAAGGTCTACGGAAGGGATCCAGTTTCAGCTTTCTGCATATGGCTAGGCAGTTTCCCCAACACCATTTATTAAATAAGAAATCCTTTCCCCATTGCTTTTGTCAGGTTTGTCAAACATCAGATAGTTGTAGATGTGTGGCATTACTTCCAAGGCCTCTGTTCTGTTCCACCAGTCTATATCACTGTTTTGGTACCAGTACCATGCTGTTTTGATTACTGTAGACTTGTAATATAGTCTGAAGTCAGGTAGCATGATGCCTCCAGCTTTGTTTTTGTTTGTTTGTTTGTTTTTTTGCTTAGGATTGTCTTGACTATGCAGGCTCTTTTTTGGTTCCATATAAAATTGAAGGTGTTCTTTTTTTTCAATTCTGTGAACAAAGTCAAGGTAGCTTGATGGGGATAGCATTGAATCTACAAATTACTTTGAGCAGTATGGCCATTTCCATGATACTGATTATTCCTAACCATGAGCAAGTTCCCATCTTTTTGTGTCCTCTCTTATTTCCTTGAGCAGCGGTTTGTAGTCCTCCTTGAAGAGGTCCTTCACAACCCTTAACAGTTGTATTCCTAGGTATTTTATTATCTTTGTAGCAATTGTGAATGGGAGTTCACTCAATATTTGGCTGTTATTGGTGTATAGAAATGCTTGTGATTTTTGCACATTAATTTTGTATTCTGAGACTTTGCTGAAGTTGCTTATCAGCTTAAGGAGATTTTGGGCTGAGGCAACGAGATCTTCTAAACATACGATCATGTTGTCTGCAAATAGAGACAATTTGATTTCCTTTTTTCCTAACTGAATACCCTTTATTTATTTTTCTTGCCTGATGGCCCTGGCTAGAACTTCCAGTACTATGTTGAATAGGAGTGGTGAGAGAGGGCATATTGTCTTGTGCCGGTTTTCAAAGGGGATGCTTCAAGTTTTTGCCCATCAGTATGACACTGGCTGTGGATTTGTCATAAATAGCTCTTATTATTTTGAGATAGGTTCCATCAATACCTAGTTTATTGA